ATATGCTTTTAGGTCTTTCAGGGTATGTTTGATGAAATTGGGTGTTGACATTGGGTGCATACAGGATTGATGATTATTATTTCCTTTGGTCTATTTCCCCTTTCATTAGTATGGAATGTCCTTCTTTATCTCAGTTGATCAATGTAGGTTGAAGTCTACTTTGTCAGAGAAAGTATTGCTACTCCTGCCTGTTTTGGGGCCATTGTCTTGGTAAATCTTCTTTCCAGCCTTCATCCTAAGCCTATGCTTATTTCTATCGGTGAGCTGGGTCTCCTGTAAGCAACAAATGTTGGATCTTCCTTTTTAATCCATTTCGTCAAGCAGTGTCTTTTGATGGGTGAATTAAGTCTGTTAACATTAAGCGTTATACTGATAGGTATGTGGTGATTCCTGTCATTTAGTTGTCTTAGTTGTTTGAAGGTTTGATTGTGTGTACCTAAGTTGAGTTACTCTCTACTGTCTTGCTTTTCTTTTCCTGTGTTTGGTGCTGCCTGTCTTTTCATGGTTTATTGGGTTTCACTTTCTGTGTGCAGAATCCCTTGAAGAATCTTTTGTAGGTGGCTTTGTGTCACATATTGTTTTAGTTTCTGCTTATCATGGAAGACTTTTATTGCTCCATCTGTTTTGAATGATAGTTTTGCTGGGTAGAGTATCCTGGGGTTGAAGTTATTTTCCATTCAGTGCCCAGAAGATCTCACTCCAGCTCTTCTTGCTTTAATGTTTCTGTTGAGAAGTCTGCTGTGATTTGATGTGTTTACCTTTGTATGTTACTTGTTTTTTCTCTCTTACATCCTTCAATATTCTTTCCTTAGTTTTCTGAACTTGTTGTTTTAATATGTATATGTCATGTTAGTTCTATTTTGATCTGGTCTGTTTGGTGTCCTGGAGGGCCTCTTGCATCTGTGGGAATATCTTTCTCTAATTTGGGAAATTTTCTTTATTATTTTGTTGAATAATTACACTTCCCTTTGCTTGCACCTCTTCTTCTTCGATGCCCATGATTCTCAGCTTTGGTCTTGTCATGGAGTGGTGAGTTCTTGCATTTTCTTTCACAGGTCTTGAGTTGTTTAATTAATAGTTCTCAGTTTTTCCTTTAATTACCATTTCATCTTTCAAGTTCTGAGAGTCTGTCTTCTGTTTGTTCTTCTCTGGATTGGCCTTCCATTTGTTTGCAGTTCTGTTTGTTCTTTTTTCTGAGTTTCCATTCCTGGTTGTTTTCCTCTTTAATGTTGTCTGTTTTTGTCCTGAGTTCATTTATCTGTTTATTAATCATGTTCTCTGTTCACTTTGGTGTTTATACAGTGCTTTATGGTTTCCTTTTATTCTCTTTGCTTTTTCAAATTCCTATTTTTGTTCTCTTGGAATTTCTTCAGTGTCTCCTGTACATTTTGGTTGACCCTATCCAGTATCATCTCTATAAAATTCTCATTGATACCTGTAGTATGTCTTCTTTTAATTATTCTTTGGGCTTCATTGGGTTCTTTGACATATTTATCTTCATTTTGTTGGAGTCTGGATCTGAGTATCTGTTTTCTTCATTCCCCTCTTGGCTTCCATGTACTAATTTTTTGCTGGGGAAACTGGTTTCCCTTTTTCTGTCTTCCCGTCATTGTCTTGGTGTTGTTACTGTCCTGTACGTGTTGCATTAAGTATTTTCTAGCTTTGTAATAATAATAATGGTAATATTTAGAATGAAGGGTGAGAGGAGATGGAAATCAAGGAAGTTAAAGAAAGGGAAAAGCAGACAGTAGGAAAAAAAACCAAGAATCAAACAAGAAAGTTTCAAGGTATAAACAGGAGAAGTTAGTGTGTACTAATCAACAGTAAGCTGAACAGGCCTTAGAGGAGATAGAAGAGGGATTGAAAATAAAATAAAAGAATAAAGTAAGAATAAAAATGAAAGATAAGTAAATGAAAGTAAATAATTATATTATTATATATTAAAACAAAAAATTTAAAATAGAAATAAAAATAAAAAAAAAATAAAAATAAAATCTCCAAGTTCAATGCATGAAGTTTCAGTCTTAATAATTTGGTTTGTTGTCTGTCTCAGTCTACAATCCTGGAAGATAGTGCCTCAGATGTTGTGCTGTAGTTGTCTCATCAAAGTGACACATAAAGTAGAACAAAAGTGCACCAAAAAAACCCAAAAAAACAAAAAAACAAAAAAGCCCATAAAGTGTCCCAAGTTCAAATGCAAAAAGTTTCAGTAAGTTTTTCAGCATGCAGGTGTAGTTCAGTGTTTTTCTCATCAAGGTAGGGAGATTGATAAAAAAAAAGTCTGGAGACAGTTTCTGTGAATGGTATTCTGTGGCTGTGGCTTGCCCTGCCACTGCTGCAGCCTGCTATTGCTGGAGTTATTTATGCAGATCTCAGGGGTAGCTTAGCACTCACCTGGCCCCACAGGCTTTGTTTACTCAGAGTTCTCCGGTGTGTTGAGCCTCTGCTACAAGTCTTCCCTTTTCCAAGCACACTGGGGTAGGTGACACTGGCACCCGCTTTCTCAGGCCTCCATGTTTGTTTTACAGTTCACATGGGAGTGGGGTCTTCCCCCCTCTCCTGTGGAGTTTTCCTCCCACTGCCAGTTTTACAAGCTTTTCCCACTCGTGATTACTGGGCGGTGCTTCTGCTCCTGCCAGCCGCTAGGTTTTGTTTACAGCTCACGCTGAAGTGGGTCTTCCCTCCTCTCCTGTGGAGTTTCCTCCCTCCACCACACTCACAAGCTTTCCCGCTCCTGGTTGCTGGGTGCGTGCTCCTCCCTGCTGCCCGGCTGTTATTTACAGTTTCGGGAAGATTCCCTCCCCCAATCTTTGACGCTCAGTTGCACCCCACCCCTCTTTTCCAGCATGTCTTTATTGTTCTTATTGCTTATAGCTCAGTTTTCTCTTCTTTTTCCCCAGACGGAGGTTGGTCTATCCAGGGGTACTGGTGGAGTGGCTCAGGTGGTAGCACTTGGCCTCAGCAAGCATAAAGTCCTGAAGTTTCAAACCCAGTGCCACAAAAAATAAGATTAAATATCCAGGGGGTTATTGCTGCTCTGGCCCAGGGTTGTATTGTGGAGTTTACTGCAGTACCGCTAAGCTCACCTTGTCGCGTCTTCCCAAGCTGTCTGGGTCGGCGACTTGGCGGCCCAGGGGCCCTCCTGGTTTCTCCATTTAACATGAAGTGGAGATGTCTGCACCGGCTGGAGTGTGGAGGGGTCAAAGTTTTGCCTCTTCTCGGTGGTTTTGCCTGCAAGGTGTGTATCCAGCATCTCTCCATGATTCCACTATAGGAGGCATGCTTTCTGCTTCCTCCCTTAGCTACCATTGGAATCCCCCCCTCCCGAAATAATATTCTGAGAGAAGCCGGTCACAAAATATAAGATTCTATTTATATTAAATGCTCAAAATAGGTAACCTCCAAAGACATACACTAGATTAGTGGTTGGCTAGTTTGCATTGTTGGGAGAGATAGCTGAGGTACAGGTTTCCTTTCTTGGAGTAATGAAATGTTGGGTCTGGGGGATCAGAGGACAAAATGAGCCAGTGCCTCACATTCCCCATGAGAGCACCATGAGCCTATATCCTGTAAAGGGACATGTGGTTTCACAAGTCATGCCCCCATGGGGATGCCGCAAAACGCCAAAAGGCCAATAAACAGGAGGCTTTCACAGGACTGTGTCTATGTTCCTGCAGAGATATGTTAAAAACCACTCCTCCCCTGACTCCCTCCCCAAGAAAAAGGACCAAATTTTAAAAAACTCTTTGTAAACAACAGGGAGCTACCGATTTTCCGGGCTCAATAAGTCCTCCTTTGTGTGCTGACCTTGTTGTCAGTCCACTGCCTCACAAGACAGTTCTTTGGCCTGTGAACTCTCAACACCTGCCAGCAACAAAAATGTTCTCAGGTTTCCTTTCTGGAATGGTGAAAATATTCTCAAACTGATTATGGTGATAATTGCCCAACTCTGTGAATATACAAAAGTTCACTGAAGAACTGTTCAAATGGATGACTAATATGGTATATGATCACATCACAGTCAGGGCTTGTTCTGCACGTCCTGCTATGTCTTTGGGACTTCTGAGATATGGTACAAGTTTTTTCTCCCCCAAGTTTCAATTGTGCATTCACAGCACTTAGCTCCTTCAACAGCAACACGAAGCAGATTATCCCTATCTAGAAAGGTAGTAGTAATTTTTTTTTTTTTTTTGCACAGCAGGGACTTTACCATTTGAGCTACACCTCCAGTCCATCTTGCTCTGGTTTATTTTGGAGATGGAGATGGGGGTTGGAGGGGCAATCTCAGGAACTATTTGCCCAGGCTGGCCTCAAACCGCAATCCTCCCCATCTCAGCCTCCCACCCGATTTCAGCCACCCAAGTAGCTTATATTACAGCTTATAAACAACCCCGTGAGCTCCCACGGGGTTGTTTTAATTTTTAAGCACATACAATAGGGCTAACAATGAAGAATGTTATGCGCAGCTGATGCTCCATAAGCAGTACTGTGCACGAGGCATATGCACGTATGCACGAGAACATGAGTCCTTCGGAGATATCTGGAAGGAACCGGATCTAGAGGGCCAGCCGCAGTATTCCGGGGTCCTATCCTTCTTCTCACTCAAGCTCTTGGACAGTGGGGCAGGAGTGCAACCCGCTAACGCTGGAGTCGCGGGTAAGTCTCATGCTCCCGAGCCAGGGCCCACTGAAGGGAGGACAGAGACCGCAGGGCATGGCGCCATAGGTAAGTGGGTACCCGCACCCAAAAGTGCCCGCCGCAGCTGACCCGGAGCCGCACTGCGCTCCCCCGCACGATCGCGGAGAACAATGCGCCCAACCCTCCCCTCAGAGCGGCCGAGCCGCGCCCAGCCGACCGCGGGTCCTGCCGGGAAATGTAGTGTTCCAGGCCCCGCCCTCCAAGCACCCCTCCCGCCGCCCGTGCGCCATGCGCAACTACAAGTCCCGTCACGCTCCGCGAGGTCTGTCTGCTGGCTCCTGCGGAAAGGAAGTGCGGCAGACATGGCCGAGGGCAGTCGGGGCGGCCCTTCGTGGGGCGGGGTGGGCGACAAGCAGGACCTGGTTCCTCGGGTTGTTGGCTCCAACTTTCCAGAGTACGAGCTTCCCGAGCTCAACACGCGCGCTTTCCACGTGGGCGCTTTCGGGGAGCTATGGCGCGGCCGGCTGCGCGGGGCCGGGGACTTGTCGCTGAGGGAACCCCCGGCGCCCGGCAGCCAGGGGGTCGCTGACTCCGAGCCCGAGGATATCGCGGTGGCCCGGGATCTGGGCTGCAGTCTGGAGGCGGCGGCTGAACTGAGGGCGGTGTGCGGGTGAGTGTAAGGCCCGGGGCTCAGCAGTGCGGGCCGGGAGGGGTGCAACCGTTCCTTGTATTCCCCGGGCACGCGGCCAGGCCTGTCGCTCAGACCCGGGAAGTAGGACCCCTCCCCCTTCAAAGCTTTCAGCCCCCTAGAACCTTCCTGCATTCTTGGGGCAGGCAGGTCCGTGGGTCCGAGTGTACAGTTGCTTCGAGTTGAGTGAAGGAACGAGACAGCTGCATAAAATACGAATTTTTATGTTCGCTAAATTTTTGGGGTGCTTGTTAATAAAGGCAGTCAGGGTAGCAAGCGCCGTGTATCTGCCATTGACACTTTGACAATGGAGGAACATGGGCAATGATGAAGCTGAAGGAGACTTAATCCAGGGGAGTGTTTAAAACCTTCATTAAATGTACTCTCTGGGAGTTCTCTTAGGTATACCATTACTGAAATTTTTCCCTAAAGTGCCGTATGTGAAGTAAAAATATAAAAACAAGATAATGCTCTTTTTCTCCATTGAACAGTTACTGGCCGTCTTCAATCGGCCATATATCCTTTCCATTATAAAATACCTGCACAGAAACCATTGCCTCGAGTTCTGCCCTCCTCTGAGCCGCCTGTAGGACTTCATCTGACTTCTTAATTATTCACTAGTGTATTTAGGACAAGCTTCTGACTCACTGTTGACAAGATTCATGGCTCACCCCAAAATCTTGCTTTTCCTTTTTTGTTTTAGCATTGATAAACTGAAATGCCTTGAGGAAGGTGAGGATCCAGAAGTCATCCCAGAGGATACTGACTTGGTGACTTTGGGGTATGTATGCTTTTGTTATATGATGTTTACTGAATGACTGGTGGTACTGGGGTTCAAACTCAGGGCCTTACACTTGCAAGGCAGGCACTCTTACCACTTGAGCCTCTCCACAAGCCCTTTTTTTTGTGATGGGTTTTTTCGAGATATGGTCTCTCAAACTATGTGTCCCTGATCTCTGCCTCCTCAGTAGCTAGGGTTAGCAGGCGTGAGCTACCAGCAACCAGCTATTTAATTTACTATTTGGTGCTGGGGATTAAAACCAGAGCCTGGCACATGCTAACCATGCCGTCTATCATGAGCTACACTGCCAGCCTACTTATTTAAACATTTTTCACATTGTATTTCAAAACCGTTGAAAGGTATAGTATTGTTATACATATACCACACTTGAATTCAACCATTGTTCACATTTAACCATATTTGCTTTAGCTATGTGAGTATGGGATAAGGGGTGTAGCTGTGTGTCTTTTTTTGCTGATAATTCAGTAAGTTGCAGGTATCATGATAATTTACTCCTAAATATATCAGATGTAGCTCTTAAAGCATCATTTCTCCTACATAGGAAAATTACAATTGACATATAAGCTGAAAGAACCAATGCATTTCAAATTTGTGTTCATTTTTTATTTTATTTTATTTTTTGGTGGCACTAGGGTTTGAACTCAGGGCCTCACGCTTGCTAGGCAGGTGTTCTTACTGTTTGAGCTACTCCACTAGCCCCTGTTTGTGTTCATTTTTTAATGTGTTTTTATAAAGGCAAAGCTAATTTACTTTGGGTGCAAGCTAAATACTCTGGTACTGTTAAAGGTAGAGGACCATTTGTTGGACTGATGGGGTGGCTCAAGTGACTTCATGCTTGCTAAGCAGGCACTCTTTACTGCTTGAGCCACTCCAACATCTGTTTTTTTCATTTTTAATCTTTGACAGACATATATACATTTTATATATATATCTATAAAAATAAATTTTTTTGGTGGGTGGGTCTGAGGTTTGAACTCAGGGCTTTGAACCTGCAAAGCAGCAGCTCAGTCACTTGAGCCACACCTCCAGTCCATTTTGCTCTTGGTTTTTGGAGATAGGGTCTCTTGAACTATTTTCCTGGGCTGGCCTTGAACTGAGATCCTCTTGATCTCTGCCTCCCAAGTAGCTAGGATTACAGACATGGGCCACTGGTGCCCAGCTGACAGATCCATACTTTTGTAAAATACTAGAAAAATGAATTACTAGAAAAGTGGAGTTTAAAAACAAATATAATATATCTAAAATTTTAATACTATGAAATCCAATAGATAGAAAATTAAAAATTTTTAAATGCTTACTCTCATTTTCTGTACAGATTGGATAACATGTAGTTCACTGACAGTTCCAATGTACCATCTACATTTTGAAAAGCCATACTCTATGATGGCTATGAATACTACAGAGAAATTGTTCATGTAATAGTGAAATTTAAAACTTTCATTTTGTGCCCCACTGATTTTATACCACCTCACCTGTGACCTATCATTGTTAATTCTACCCTTTCTATATCCCACTCATATGTTTATGCATATATGTAAAATAATGGAAAAGAGTCAGGGTATTCCTCACTGAGATTGTTCTAATGCACTGTGAACCTATTATATTTAAAACATAGCTAATATAAATCTTAATGATCCCATAAGCATTAGACTTTTGGTAAACACCTGAATCTATATTTCTGTGCTTTCTGTTTCCCAAAACTTAACATAAACATAAAAACAAAATCTAAGCATGTAGTCATTTTATTGACATAAAAAAAGTTTCTGACACTCTTTCCCTTATCTAATGAAGGAGCTAATATTTATCAGGTAGTTGCAAGATTGATTCTTTGATACATGCAAGCTATTTAATCCATAGCAAGCTAAATAAGTTATCTTTAGTACTTACACATTTTTCTACTACTTAAAACTGAAGTTTTTACTATTTATTTGTTGTGGTTTGAACTCAGGGGCACTGCATGCTAGGCAGGCACTCTACTACTTGAGCCACTCTCCCTGCCCCAAACTGAAGGTTTTAGTTCCTGGGGATTGGAAAGTGAATTGTTACTACTGTAATAGTGCTACTAAAATGTACGTGTTTCCCAAAAAATTCAACACCCTTACTTTAATCCATAACAATTTCAGTTGGTTATTCTTCCCATCCCACTCCTTTCTGTGACCAATAAAGCACTGTTTATTGGTCCAGTATATACCACTTAAGAGATAAAAGGGGGAACTTTATAGTCTAGCAAGAAAAAGAGCCATGAAGTTAAAGGACTCACAACTCTTATTCCATGACCAAAACAACCACAAACAATGTTTAAAAACTAAACTTTAAGCTGGGTGCTGGTGGCTCATGCCTGTAATCCTTGCTACTCAAGAGGCAGAGATCAGGAGGATAGTGGTTTGAAGCCAGCCAGCCAAACAGGTCACAAGACCCTACCTGGAAAAAACACATAATGAAACAGGGCTGGTGGAGTGGCTCAAGGTGTAGGCCCTGGGTTTAAACCCCAGTACCGCACGCACGCACGCACGCACGCACGCACACACGCACACACACACACACACCCCCCCCTAACTAATATTCCTGGGCTTTGCTAGAATGACAGAAAAGAGCACCATTAAATTGGGAATCTTGTAAACTACTACTACCACAGCTCCCAAGATGAAATAAAATCCAAAGAGAACTTACTGCAGAAAATAATTGTTTATATAGATCCACTTGGAAAACTAGCTTCCTTCTTCCCAGAAAATAACCAGGGGACAGGAGAAAAGCTATGTCTACACTCCAAACAGAGTGAATATACCCAAACAAGCATTTGAGGGCAAAAAACAACCCTGAGATTAGAAAACTTAAAACTAAGTATAAATGTTGAAGAAAAGAAAAAAATTAATGAAGAATTGATGGAATGAAAGAAAGAAAGACAACAAATACCTCATAAATGAAAAATTTATGAGAGACTCAAGGAAGAATAGACTCAAACAGAAATTTAATAAGAGGCAATGAAGGAAGGCAGAAGAACAACCAAGAAAATTGAAAACGACATGAAGAAAAAGTAAAATGATACCAGGCACCAATGACTCAAGCTTATAATTGTAGCTACCTGGGGAGCTTGCCATGTGAGGCCAGCTGGGGCAAGTGTTTTTGAGAGCCTCATTTCAACCAGTAGTTGGGCATGGTGGCTCATGCCTATCATCCAAGTTATGTGGGAGGATGTGATCATGGTTCCAGGCCAGCACAGGCAAAAAAGTTTGGAAGACCCCATCTCAGTGGAAAAAAATCTGGGCATGGTGGTATGCACCTGTCATCCCTGCTATAGCAGGAAGCCTAAAAGTAAGAGAATTGCAGTCCAGGCTGGTCTGGGCATAAAGTAAGACCCTATCTCTAAAATAACTAGAGCAAAAAGGATTGGTTCAAGCAGTCAAGTGCCTGCTTAGCAAGGGAGAAGCCCTGAGTTCAACCCCCCAAAAAAAGATACAATATTGAAATTATCAAAGTCCCTGAAGAAAGAAGATGAAGCAGTGGAACAGAATTTTTACATAAAGTATAATCTAAGAAAAATTTCTAGAAGTGGAAAAAAAGCTAACTTCATAAAATGAAAGTTTCACAGAGTACCTGGAAAAATTAATCTAGAATTATCAGTCTGAGACATTGCTTAGTAAATCTGTCATATTTCAGAGGTAAGGATAAAATGATCAAGGCTTCCAGGCAAAAAGCGCAGATAACCTGGGAAGGCAAACTTAAAAAAGTATCAGATGTTGCAAAGCTGACATACAAAGCAAGGCTATAATGTAGCATTGTTTTAAAAACTCATTGAAGGTGTGAGGTAAGAAATGTCCTTCCAATTTCAAGACTTTATAGAAAAATATTCTCTTCAACACACAAGAATATGGGTCATTTCTGCATCCACCAGCTATCTTTGAGGAAAGACTAGAGGTGAGCCTCAACTAACCAATTGATGAGACTCAGAAATTTTCAGCAAAAAGATTAAAGGTGAGGCTGGGGGTGAGTATGTATTATGACAGTATAATATTATAACTAAAAAGATAGGAGAAAAGAGGCTAAGGTGTGGGCAATATATGGATTTTAAATAATACTGAGAGAAAAAAAAAAATCCCTGACAAAACAGATAATAAAAGGTTCAGTAAGAACATAGGTAACTAAGGACAAGGGAGACCTATTAAAATAGACTTATAAAGGAGAAACCTTGTGAAGACAAGAAATGCATCTAAAAGCGTGATTCAAAAAGACTAAAAAATACATCAGGAGAATGGAAACATTCAAAGACCAAATAGCTGGGCATGGTGGTATATGCCTGTAGTTTCAGCTACTCCAGAGGTGGAGCAGAAGGCAGAGGCAAGAGGACCTCAAGTTCTGGGCCAGCCCTGGGCAAAGTTGGCAAAGTTAAGTGAGACCCTATCTCAAAAACAAAATATAGAACAAAAGGGCTGGGTGTAGCTCAAGTGCTTTACCACATCAATTTCTAGTACTGGGTTCAATTTCTAATACTACAAAACAATAAGTAAATAAAATAAAATTTAAAAATGCACACATATACTCCCAACAGTCCAGGGCCTTGAAGAAACAAAAACTAGCACAAACAGGAAGCAAACATGGTATTGATTCTTAAATTAGAAAGGGACAGTAAAATAAAAGAAAACTTGATACCAGTATTCCTCAACACACAAGATACCAGAGTATCCAACACCATATTAAGATGATACTAAACTGTTACCAAGTGGATTTGTTCCAGGAATGGAAGGTTGGTTCAAAATGAACACATCTATTAAAATCATACACCTTGTTAATAAATCTAAGGAATAAATCATTTGATTATTTCCAGAGATGATGAGTTTTTAAAAAGTTCAACACTGATTAAACACTCAAATGAAATAGAAATTGGAAGCCTCAGTGGCTCACGCCTGTAATTCTAGCTACTTGGGAGGCTGAAATCAGGAGGATTGCTGTTTGAGGCCAGCCCAGACAAATAGTTCATGAAACCAATCTCCAAAGTAACCAGAGCAAAATGGACTAGAGGAGTGGCTCAAGTGGTAGAGGGCTTGCTTTGCAAGCGTAAAGCCCTGAGTTCAAACCCCAGTTCCACAAAAAAGTAAATAAATAAATAAAATACACGAGACCTAGTTGTAAAGTAAGTATCTGAATTTGAGAAGCAACACAGGTATTTATGGTAAGATCTGAAATAAGCAAGTATGCCTGCTGTCTCTACTACTTTGCAACATTGTCCTGCAGGTATCAGCCATGCAATTTACAGAAGTCAATTAGAGGCATAAGAGTAGATGAAATAAAAACTGTTTGTAGATGAGATGAGTATAGCTAGAAAATTCCAAAGAAATTAATGCTACAATTAACACAAACAAAAGAATTTAGAGAAATAGCAGGATGCAAAAGTGGAAAATAAAAATTAGTAGATTTCATGTGTTCCAAAAAAAAAAAAAAACTCAAGGACATAATAGTAGAGAGAATTCATTTACCTCAGCCAAAAAGAAGACTACGTTCTTAGGAATAAGTTCAATATAAAATGTATGAAAACTCTGGAAAATTTTAAAACATTCCTGAAAGATTTGTAAGGACACTTGAACAAATTGAAAGATACTCCTTGATCTTGGGTGGGAAGATTAAGCATTTTTGCAGTTCTGGGAATTGAACTCAGGGCCTTGTGCTTGCTAGGCAAATGCTCTACCAGTTGAGCCACGCCCCCAGTCCTTTTACTTTTAGTTTATTTTCAGGTAGGATCTCAAACTACCTTTGCCTGGCCTGGCCTCAAACTAAACCTGCCTCCACCTCCCATGGGATTATAGTGTGTACCACCATGCCTTGTTTGTTTTTGAAATAGCATCTTTTTGCCAGGGCTGGTGTCAAACTGAAGTCCTGCCTCTGTCTCCCCAGTAGCTGAGATTACAGCCATGCACTACTGCTCCCAGCCCCAGAAGACTAAACATTAATATATAATGCTCTTAGCACACACAATAATATGACACTTCTCTAGGGGAAGTTTGTAACACATAACACAAAACTACATAGGCACATACCTTTTGACTTGGCACTCCCCTGTAGCAATATATACTAAAAATATACCTCTAACAATAAGAAAATACATAAGTATGTTGATACTCATTATAGCATTGTTTGCAATTGTGATTTATTTTTCCTTAGGGTCTTACTATGTAGCCCAGGCTGACCTTGAACTTGCAATCCTCTGCCTTAGCCTCAAGAGTACTAGAACTATTAAGTATGTACCACTCATTCCCAGCTTGCAAAATATTTGACATACCTTAAATACACACATGTAGGAGGGTATTCAACACAAATGAGAAGTGCACAGTGGAATATCCGTAGCTGTATAAAGGATGAGGAAGGATGAACTCAGTGATTTCCGTGACATACTAACAACTGAAGTAAAGCCCTAAAGCATATGCTGCTTCATGTAAGAAAGGTATGCTAGGTATAACTCACTGGCTCTTAGCTGTAAATTTACCTTTCTTGGGGCTGTATTTAGAGATCGATCCTTTAAATCAGGTAAGAGTAATTTAGGGGAAACTGGCAAGAGACATGAGGGAACTCTGTTTTTTTGCAACTTTCCTTCAAGTCTAAAATTAGTCCAAAAAGTTAAATATCTGGGCTGGGAGGTATATCTCAGTAGACTGCTTACCTGACACATGAGTCTCTGGGTTCTATTCCCAGAACTGCCAAAAAACATTTAAGTATTGAAGATGTTTTTGACCCCAGTAAAGAACATTGAACTTTGATTTTTTTTTTTCATGTATCTACCACAGAGTTAGAAAGAGGTTCTTGGAACATCGGGAAGAAACCATCACCATAGATCGTGTCTGCAGACAAGAAACATTTGCTTATGAGATGGTAAGATCCTCATCTTTTTCACTAGTTTTCCATCAAACAGTAAACACTGACGAGTGTTACTGACTGAGAACTATTTGAGAAGATAACTCAACAGAACTCAAGTGACCATGTATTTGGCTTTCAGATCTCTGCCTTTAGCTTTGCTTAGTTATGTCTTGATGTCAGTATTAAGCTAAATTTATGCCTTTTCACTACCTTGTTCCTGGTCTTTGTTTCTGCTTTTTGGTCTGCTTCTGATTCTCCTTCAATCTACTTAATCCTAATCCATTATCTCCTGTAAAACCCTAAGAAACAGTTAAAATGAGTATTGAGGAATGAGGAGCTAGCATGGTAGGTTCAGAACCGACAGTATGTCAGATTGTCTGCTGAGTACTTCATAGAATATAAGGGCAGCTATTGTCTCTCTCAGTTTTTTATTTCATTGTGGTAGAATTTACATGACCATGTTAGCTGTTTTTAAGTGTTTAATAAAATGGCATCATGTACATTCACAGTGCTGTGTAGCCATCAGCACTATTTCTAGAACTTTCTCATTATCACAAATTCTACGTCCAGTAAGCAGTAACTCACCAGTCTTCCTCTCACATTCGCTGGTAACCTCTGTACTACTTTCTGTTGGTATTAATTTGCCTATTCTAACCTTGTGTAAGTGCAATCATGTAATACTTGGGAGTTTTTTTGTGTTTTTTTTTGAACTTGGTGTAACGTTTTAAAGGTTTATTCCTTTCTGTGGCTGAATATAATATTGTATTTTATGAATATACCACATTTTGTTTAGTCTTTATGGACATTTGAGTTTTTTTCACCTTTTGGCTATTATGAATATTGCTGCTGTGAATATTGGCATGCAGGTATCTGAATTCCTGTTTTCAATGCTTTTGGGTATATTCCTGGGTCATGTACTAATTCAAGATCTAGCTTTAGCTGTCTTCCATAAAAGCTGTACTATTTTACATTCCCATTAGCAATGCATGAGGTTCTAATTTCTCCATATCCTTTTCAACATATTTTCTGTTTGTTTATAATAAACATCCTAGTGGATATAAAATAGTATCACTGTGGTTTTGATTTGCATATCCCTAATGACCTGTGATACTGAACATCTTTTTCATTTAATTATTGGTTATTTGTATGTTTTCTTTGAAAAACATGTTTTTAAGAACTTTTATATTCTGGATATTAGACCTATTTACCATATTTATGATTTGAAAGTATTTTCTTCCAGTCTATGGGCTGGTTGTTTTTCACTCTTTTGGTGTCCTTTGATATTTATAAGTTTTCTAATTTGATGGGAGTCCAGTATATCTATTTTTCTTTTGTTGTCTGTGTTTTTGGTATTATGTTTAAAACATTGCCAAGTACAGTACCATGCAGATTTTTCTCCTCTGTTTTCTTCTGAGTATTATGATTTTAGTTTGTAAGTTAGATCTTTGATCTAGCTTTAGTTATTTTTATATGATATAAAATGAGGGCTCACCATAATCCTTTTGCATGTAGGTGTTTATTTTCCCCAGCATCATTTGTGGAAAAGCTCAACTTTCTGGTTTTCTTTTAAGATTCTGTATTGTTTTATTTTCAAACATGCATGGTTAATTAAGCCATCACTAACACATTTTTTTTTCCAGGATTGGGGATTGAACCCAGGGCCTCATGAATGCTAGGTAAATACTTAACCATTGAGTTACATATTCAGCCCTAAAACTTTTTTTTTTTTTTCAGTACTGGGGTTTGAATTCAGGGCCTACACCTTGAGCCACTCCACCAGCCTTTTTTTGTGAAGAGCTTTTTCCAAGATAGGGACTCATGAACTGTTTGCACAGGCTTGCTTAGAACTGCAATCCTCCTGATCTCTGCCTCCTGAGTAGCTAGGATTACAGGCATGAGCCACTGATTCCTGGCTCCTAAACATATTTTTAAGAGTCTGTCATAAGCTAAGCACTTCTTGAAATCTTGATGCCATAAATTTAGTCCTGATACCTAAGAGCATGCTCATACTTACATCTTGTTTGTTCTCCCTCACGACCCCATTCCCTTCTTAAAATGACTTCAACAGGCTTCAGTGTTGCATATTCATACTTGTATAGAAAGTACATCAACCATATTCACCCTCCTTTACCATCTTCATTTACTCTCCCCATCCCATTAGTGCCTTCCCTTTTAGATGACTTGTTTTAATTTCCTTTCCTTCATTGTTTAGGTGTCTGTTAGTTGTTAAGTGGGGATTTTGCCTTGGTATTTTACCTGTAAATATATTGTGCTTAAATCATTCTAACCCCCTCCACTGCTCTTCCTCCCCTTCTCCCCCTACCCCATATTGTTTAACAGTTTTCAGTGTGTTTCACTGTGTCTTGTTTGAAAAGGCCACCTTAAATATTCTTGGCATCTTTGTCCAAAGTCAGTTGACTATAGTACCTCCTTTCTATTCCGTTCATCTGTATCTCCATTCTTACACCAGAACTGCACTGTTTTAATAGATGCAGATTAAAAAATATGAATCTTCCAAATTTGTTTTTCTTTGTCAAGATTGTTTGGCTATTCAGGTCTCTTGAAATTCCATAGAAATTTTAAGATGGGTTTTTCTGTTTTTGCAAAACACTACCATTGGGATTTTGATAGGAATTACATTGAATCTGTAAGTTTCTTTGGGATTTTGACATACTAAGTTACCTTTCCTCCCATCCTTCCTTATTCCTTTGGCTAGAACTTCCAATACCATGTATAAGAGTGGTAAAAGTGCACACTTGTCTAGTTGGTATCGGGAAAAGTTTTCAGTCTTTCACCATCAAGTATGATGTTAGCTCTTTTTTTTTGGTAATCTTTATCATGTTGATGAAGTTCCTATCTATTCCTAACTTATTTAATGTTTTTATCTTGAAAGCGTTTGTCAGATTCTATAGACCTTTTCTTTTTCTTTATTTTTTAAGGCACTGGGGCTTAAACTCAGGGCCTACACCTTGAGACACTCTACCAGCCCTTTTTTGGGATGGTATTTTCGAGATAGGGTCTCACAAATTATTTGCCTGGGCTGGCTTTGAACTGCAATCCTCCTGATCTCTGCCTCCTGAGTAGCTAGGATTACAGGTGTGAGCCTCTGGCACTGGGCTTTTGTAAACCTTTTCTGCATCAATTGAGATATTTTTCTCCCATCATTTTGGTAGCATGGTTTATTATATTGACTGACTTACTAATGTTAATGTACTCTTGCATTCTGAGGACAAACCCCACTTGTTTGTTATATAATCCTGAATTTGGTTTGCAAGTATTCTGTTGAGGCTGTTTGCATTCATGTTCATAAGGGGTTGTGGCCTATCGTGTTGTGTTGTCTTTTTCTGTGGTGTCAGAATAACGCTGTCCTCATAGAATAAGTTAGGAAGATCATTACTTTTCCGGTTTTTTGGAAGAGTTTGAGAAGCATTAGTATAAATTCTTTGATAGTTTGGTAGAATTCATCTAGTAAAGTCATCAGGTCCTGGGCTTTTTATAAGTGGTTTTTCACTACTGATTCAATCTCCTTACTTACAGGTCTGTTAAGATTTTCTGTTTTTCTTTAGTCAGTTTGTAAATTTGTACATTCTAGAATTGTCCTTTCATTTTAGGTGATCCAATTTCTTGGTATACAGTAATTCATAGTTTTAATCCTCTTTCTGTAAAATCGGTGATGTCTGCTTTTATTTCTTATTTTAGTAATTTAAGCCTTTTTAATCAATCAGCAAGTATGTCAAATTTGATGTTTCCAAAGAACCATCTTTTGTTTTTAACTTTTCTATTTATAGATAAATAATAAATAAAAATAGATTATTTAATCTGTATTATTTCCTTTTTTTCTGATACCTTAGCTTTAGTGTGTTCTTTTTTTTCTTTAGCTCCTTAACATGTAGTTAAATTATTGACATAGGTGTCTACAGATAAATTTTCTTCTTACCACTGCTTATCCTGCATCTCCAAAATTTCATTTGTTTTAAAGTATTTCCTAATTTCCCTTTTGTTTTTTTCTATGACACATTAGTTGTTTTATGAAGGGTTTTTGTTATCATTTGTTTTGTTTCTAGTGTTACTCAGTTGTGATTAGAAAAGATACTTTTTATGATTTAATTTTTTTTTTTTAAAGACTTGGTGGTCTGTCCTAGAGAGTGGTACATGTGCACTTAAAGATTATTGTTGTGTGGGGCATTCTGTGTATGTATGTCTGTTAGGTCTAATTATCTTAATTAGACCTAATTATGTTAATTCTGTTAATTCTTCTACTTCCTTATTCTGTGTAGTTGGTCTACCCATTATTGCAAGTGGAGTATTGAAGTTTCCAGCCATTATCCTAGAACTGTATTTCTTGCTTCAATTCTATCAGTTTTTGTTTCATGAATTTTAGTGTTCTTTTCTTAAATATGTACCTCATAATTGTGGATCTTATTGGATGGCACCTTTTATTAATATATAATGTCTTTTGTCTCTTATAACCTTTTTTGACTTAACGTCTATTTTGTCTGAAAATCATAGGCGGCAAGTTTTCTTTTACTTACTGTTTGCATACGATATCTTTCTATCCTTTTACTTTCAACCAGTTTGTGTCTTTGTATCTAAAGTGAGTCTTGTGTAGATATTATATATGAATCGAATTTTTGTAATCCAGTTTACCCAAGCACTAGGCAGGAACTCTACTGCCTGAGCCATTCTACCAACCCTTTTTTGCTGTGCTTATTTTGGAAATGGGGTCTCACTTTTTGCCCAGGCTAGCCTGGAATGTGATCCTCTTATTTTATGTTTCTTGCCATTGCAGGGATGACAGGTACATGCCATGGCACCTAGCTTTTTTCTTTTAAGATCGGGTCTGTAAAAGTTTTGCCCGGGCTGACCCAGAACCTCCATCTTCCCAATCTCAGCCTCCCATATAGCTTGGGATGACAGGTGCGTGCCACCAGCTATTAGTTGAGATGGACTCTCATGAATTATTTGCACAGTCTGGCCTAGAAGCACAGTCCTCTGATCTCAGCCTCCCAAGTAGTTAGGGTTACAGGTATGAACCACTGGCACCAGCATCTAATTTTCTTTCTTTAAAAGATTTTAATCCATTTATATTTAAACTAATTACTGGGTCAAGCAAGGCCCAGTATACAGTTGAATTTTTGTGGTATGCTATTTTGATTCCCTCTTTTCTTTTCTGTATATGTTGTAGATAACTTCATAGTGGGTACCTTATACATTACAATTGAATCTTTTTTATGGTGATATTCACAAATACTTTTTTTTTTTTTGGCAGTACTGGAGTTTGAACTCAGGCCTTTTGTACTTGTTAGGCAGGCACTCTACTGCTTGAGCCTCACCTCCAACCTATTAAACGTTAAACATAAAAACTTAAGTTTTTTTATTTATTTGTTTTGTGGTACTGGGGGGTGGGGGGTGTCGAACCTAGGATCTTGCACATACAACATATAAACTTATTTTTTTTCTTTGTTTTGCAGTACTGGGGATCAAACCCAGGGCCTATCACTGGACTACTAAGCTACCCTTCCCTTCAGCCCTTCCTCTTTATAACATTATTACAGATGAAATCCTTCTTTATTGTATGTCCATTAGCATAACACTTCTAATTTTGCAATAATAGTATAGGAAACACCGGAGTTACCAAAAGTACAATGATACTGGATTTTGTATTTAGCTATGTATTTACCTATACCAGTGTTTGTTTGTTCATCTTTCTCTTCCTCCCTCCCTCCTTTTCTTTTCCTTTCTTCTCCTGTCCTCTCCTCTCCTCTCCTCTTCCATTTTGGAGGGCAGTATTAGGGGTTTGAACTCAGGGCCTTTGACTTTATTTCTTTTTATGGCTTCAAGTTATTGTCTCGTATCCTTTCATTTCTGCTTGAAGAACTCTTTCTAGGGAGCTGGTGGAGTGGCTCAAGTGGTAGGTAGAGTGCCTACCTAAGAAGCATGAAGCCCTGAGTTCAAACCCCAGGACCACCAAAAATAAAACAAAAACCTCTCTAGTATTTCTTATAGGACAGACCTACTGGTAATGAACTCCCTCAATTTTTGTTATCTGAAAATGGCTTCATTTTCATTCCTTCATTCATAGCTTTCATTTCTAGAAGATAGTTTTGTCAGATATAGAATTCTTGGTTAACAGGGATTTTTTTCATGGCTTTTAGTGTGTCATCTAACTTGTTTCTTGTCTCCATTCCATGGTTTCTTTTATTCTGGCAGTACTAGGGTTTGAACTCAGAGCCTAACATTTGCTAGGCAGGCGCTCTACCACTTGAGCCACTCCACCAGCCCCTCTCCATGGTTTGCAATGAGAAATCTTCTACTCAGTTAACTGAGAACCCAGTTTCCTGTAGATATTCATCTGTTTTCCTAAGCCCATTGAGTACCTTTAAGACAGTTGACTTAGCATTTTTTGTTTGTTTTTGTTTAATGGGCTTTTATTTACATGTAAATCTAGCATTTGCCTGTAGGAATAATTAACTAACCTTTTTGACCAGTAATTTCAATGAGTTTTCTTCAGGTTAGTTTCTAATGAATAAGCCATTTTCCTTTTTCATGTGTTTTGTAAGTTTTTGCTGTGTGCTTGACATTCCAAGAGTGTTTTTTCTTGTGAATGGCTGGAGTTACTTGTGACTTTTCCAAAGTATTTTTGCAGCATGCATATAGTTGTGTGTGACACTGACATTTCTATATCATTGCTTCTGTTTAGTTAGTGATCTGACAATGTTTTCCCCAAATTTCTGGTTTCAAAAAGAAAAAAAGATTGTGTCTAAATCTTTCAGTAGATGCTGCTGTCAGAAGCTACTGCTGCCAACAATGCCAATACCAAGTGTACTTCTGGCCCAGGCCTGCAGGGTATCTCCAGCCTAACCAGCTGGTGGAATGGCTCAAACAAGAGTGCCTCCTTAGCAAACATGAGGCTCTGAGTTTAAACCCCAGTGCTGCTAAAAACCAACTAAAACATACACTTTGAGGGACCAGGCCTCCACTGCCTGCCCTGACACCAGCCAGCTGTTCGAAGAACATGGGGTGCCATCTTCACATCTGCAGTGGGTCTGAGGAATCAGGAGAAGTAGTTGATTCGCACATACTGCTTACTTGCAAAAGACCAGCAGTGTCTCCGCTCTCCAAACACTCCTAGTTGTTGTGAAAATCCAGTCAGATTCCAATTGATTATGTTTTCTCTTCAGCTTGATGCTTGCTTCAGTAGAGGGACCAACTCTAGGAGTTTCCTTCTCTGCAATTTCCATGACAGCACTCCCACTTATTTTTAAAAATAACTTACATCTTTATTTCTTAATCACTCCTCCTTTGTGGCCCTTATTTTATAGCAATTAAGGACATTCTAAATGAATATGATATATTAAAGGTGTGCTAGTGTGATATATATTTGAATTCTAACTGTGTAACCTTGGTAAATTACTGAAACTCTAAGTTTCATCTGTTGTTTCAACAGCCTTCATAAAAGTGTTAAAGTATGTAAAAAGGGGTTACTAACTGAAAATGCCAGTGTTATACCATTATTGGTTGATATTCCTATTTTATCAACAGTTGCTAATAAGATATTACCAAATATCTTATTGCATGCTTTATGTACACATTCCCGGCAATAATTATGTAAAGTAAGTATTTTCTGCTTTCTTTATAGAAGATGAAACTAAAGCTTAGGGAGGGTTAACAATTTTTCTGAAGTATAATTATCAAACCCAGAGCTGACTCAAGCCCTCACTAACAGCCCTTATACTACACTGCCTCTTATCTGAGTTACAGTATCCGATTTCAAGGTCTTGTTTTCTTTGTTCAGGAATCACATGCAGTAGGCAAAAAGCCTGAAAATCCAGCAGACATGATTGAAGAAGGGGAGCTTATCCTATCTGTGAATATTTTGTACCCTATTATATTTCATAAGGTCAGTAAAACCTTTTGGTGTCATGGCTAATAGGAATATAAGTACTTCCCCCTCCCCCCTTTTTTTGGTGCTGGTGATCATAAACAGGACCTCAAGCATGCTAGGCAAGCACTTTACCACTGAGCTACATCCCCAGTCCCTATAAATAAGTTTTGACAAAGTATTTAATAATTGGACGAGTCACATTCCTTAGGGTTCAAAATGTAAGCATATGGTGTCTGTCTAATACCTTATTTTTAGAGCCTACAGATAGATTAGATGATAAAGCACCTGCCGAACAAGCATGAGGCCATGAGTTCAAACTTCAGTACCACCAAATAAAAAATGATACATTAGAATATAAAGTCAGATGTCAGTCTCTTGACCAAGAGAATCACAGTTAAAGTATTGGAATGCACATCTGATTTCTGCACTAGAAGCAACTGAAAGTATATATAAATCCACAGTGATTCTAATTCTATAAGTTATTATTGTTATTACTACTACTATTTGCTAGTACTGGATGTTGAATTCAAGGCCTTATGCTTGATAGGTAGATGATCTAGTCATTCCACAAGCCCTAATTCTATGAATTCTTGAGGGTTTTTTTTTTTTCCAAAATGAGTGACTGGTAGAGAATTGTAGTAAACTTTGTCCACCAATTCAGAATACGTGGTAAGTTATTGAATTAACTAAGGACAGCTCTTCTTTGATGAAAATGCATAAAGTTAACAACTTAGAAATATCTAGGAATTTCTTAAGAGTCTCAAATTAGGATCTTTTTTCTAGCCAGAATGTATCCATTTTCTTTCTTTTTTGCAGCACTGGGAATTGAACCTAGGCCTGCATTATGCTAGGCAAGCTCTCTATAAGCTATAACCCCAGCCCAAGGGGACACAGCACAAGGAGACAATTTAAGAAAATCAGTAACTTCATTTAGATCTAATCTTGTCAGGATTTGTGGTTTAATATCTTTGTCTGTAAATGGACACTTATTTATTGTTTGTCTTTTAGCACAAAGAACACAAACCATACCAGACAATGCTGGTATTGGGCAGTCAAAAGCTCACAGAACTGAGAGATTCAATTTGCTGTGTCAGCGACCTGCAGATTGGGGGAGAATTCAGCAACACTCCTGACCAAGCCCCTGAGCACATTAGCAAAGTAAGGTGACATTCCCCCAGTACCCCCACAAAAGTAAATAATAACAAGCTATAGAAATAGTTATTACTCTAGCAAGTTCATCGGTGTTCCAATAAATGTTTTCTTCTTCATGTGTTAAACTGCTGACCTCTTTCCTTTCTTCCATTTTTCTACAGAGGTGATGATACTTTATTTCCTTATCTCTCATTTATTTCTCAACTCTTCTGAGGTAATGATGATCACCTAGTTGTCTGGTCTCTTTTCCATTTAATACAGCCTGACTTCACTGTAGCTTCTTTTTTTTCTTTTTTTCTTTTTTTGCGGGGGCAGGTAGGTGCTTGGATTTCGACACAAAGCTTTGTGCGTGTTAAGCAGGTGCTCTAATACTGAGCTACATCCCCAGCCTGATGGCAGCATTTAACATTGCTGTCCCCTCTATCCTGTTTAAAACTCTGTAGGAGTTCCAGTCTGTCACAACTGCCTCTTGCAAAAGGTTGTAGTAAGTTGACAAGCTTTAATAGTTAGCATCTGTTCTTCACCTTTCTCTGGGCATAGAAGGACCTGTCAGTTCAAGGACCAATACCAAACAGGGAGATGGTGTATAGAGTTGGTCCTTGCTGGTGTCTTCCTGGTGTAGTATACTTTCCACAAGACAGAAAAATCCCCTTGTACCTCTTTAAAAGGAGCAAAATAGCAGGCTGGCTGCTGCAAAGTTTTCAGAAGTGATTACTTACCTAAGCAAGGAGTTGGACCTGATTTCTTCCAATTTTCAGAATAGGTCAAGATTGAACCAGTTCTGTCACTTGGTCCAACCATGGCAGAGGGCCCCAGATTTACTGGGCCACTTCAGAGAAAGGCAGTCTATCCTATAGATACTTGAAAAAGATATTTGAAACAACTAGAGTGAATGAACTTCGACAAGAACAAACACAATTTCCTCTTATGCTACCAGCCTCATAAATTTTTAGCTCTTTTTTTTCTTCTTACTCTGACATATAAGGCCTTCTTAAAAATGATGTTGTCCAAGTTAATATTCCATACTACTCACCCTCTGCTTCTTCGGCCACAGTGAACTTGTGTATATTCCTTATGTGTTCTGAATATTTCAACATGATAGGAAGCCGTTTCCTTCCCTCCATGCACCTGGGAAGTTCATACTCATATTTCTAAACCCAGCTCAAAACTCAAAATTTCTCTTCTTTTTCTTTTTTTTAAGAAAAAGCAGTTTTATTAAAAGATTCAAAATGACAGTGTGCTAACTTGAACATATAGGTTGTGTAAGGTCTGAAAATTCCCTTTTTGATGTTATCCAACCTCCAAGACATAATTGCAGTTAATATGCATCTCACAGTTTTTTGTAACAATCCTCTCTTTACCCCTGTGACACCTTTTCATGTGTCCATTACACTGCACATTGCAACATACTGACACTGTTTGCTGTGTGTCTGTCTGGCCTCAGGCTTGCTGTGTTCTAAGATTTTTGGTGACTATTACAGAGACTAGCATCATGGCTTATATACAGAGATTACACTTAAGTATTTTTGAGTTATTTTGAAAATAGTTTTAAGATTTATGTTCTTCAGAGTTGCCATCTCATTGCCTTTGGGAAGTAATCATGAGGATAAAGTGAAACAAAATGGAATTTTAAGACTCTTTGCTGACCAGAAAATAGTAGATTTATCTTTTCAAAGAAGAAAGCATCAATCTTATGCTGAGCTTTTTAACCCTAACCCTCTCCCCACTGCCAAAAGGAGTTATAAAGTAGTAAGATCAAATTAGCTGGGCTCATGGCTCATGTCTGTAATCCTAGCTACTCAGAAGGCAGAGATCAGGAGGATCACGGTTTGAAGCCAGTCTGGGCAAATAGTTCGAGAGACCCTATCTCGAAAAATCCTTCACAAAAATAGGGCTGGTGGCGTGGCTCAAGGTGAAGGCCCTAAGTTCAAGCCCCAGTACCGCAAAAAAAAAAAAAAAAAAGGTAAAATTAATGGAAAATATCTGAATTCACTCTGTTTATTGCAACCATGTTATCATTGGTTTGAAAAAGTTTTAGTCAGTCTTATGTCCAGGAAATCCTGGAGATTGTTTTCAGTGAGGCTTGGTGAAGTATTTGTGCTAATGTCCTCAGTTTCTAAGCAGAGACTAACCTATTTAAAAATATTTGCACATCTGTTGTTGTGTTCTTTCTGTCTCTTCTATTTATAAAATAACCTGATTGTTAAGCACTTACCAAGTACCAAATACATGCTATCTTTAGAAAGAATTATCACCATTTTATTGGTAAGAAAAAAAAGAGTTCAGAGCACTGTCATGAATTGTTCAATAAGCAGTGGTGGAGGCTGGATTCAGAGCCATGTCATTTCTCCTTCAAAGATGTTCCTGGCAATATGTCTGCCTTTAAATGTCTTTTCCCTTTTGTGTACTTGGTCAGCAGGAACTGAATGCCATCTTGAGTAATGATGTGATTAAAATACACTAGCAAGCCTCTAGCATACAGATTTTATGGAATTTTTGTCTGTTGAGAGACCTGTTTTATTTGCTTCTTGTATATCAACTTAGAAAGGCAAAAGCATATATGAGATGTTGCTGATGCAAACTCAATTGCTATTTGTATTGTACAGTGTATGATTTTATTTTTCCTTTTTAAAGTTTCTGTTGGAAAATTTCAAACATACAAACAAGACAACAGTGTAATGAATCTTTATATATCCATTACTCACCTTCAACTGTTCTCAATATTTTGCCAGAATTATTTCATGTGTTCATGCTATACCATTGTCACATCAAAGAAAAATGAAAATAAGTCCTGCTTTTATTGACAAGGATATGTTTGGCATGTATTCCACTGACAATCGTGGAACAAATTAGGAAGCTGTGGTTCTTAAAGCTGAGGAAATAAGTCTTTATTCCAACCAAAAACTACACTATTGAATAAAATTTCTTTTGATTAATTTCATGTATGAGAGGATTTGGAGAGTTGGTACGATGTATTTAAATCTCTTTAACATATAATATGCTTTGCTAATGTTTGTTTTTGGACAGTAATAGTTCAAGGATGGAACATCTTTAAAACAAGCATATAAAGTCAGTGCTATTTTCTGATCAAATAGATTTTTAATAATTCCTCATGTTTTAATGTCTGATCTATGTTTAACTTTTTATTTTGCTCACGATTAGTCAATTTTTTTTTGTCAATAATCTCTTTCTTAGAGGAACCTTAAGAAGATACTTTACACATGTATTATTTTATTACTTATTATAAATTCTCAGTAAAGGAAGAATGATAATATACATTTGTTGTGAAGCATTTCCCTTACAACAGATTGCAGGAATGTCTCATCTCTGAAGTTCTAATATATCTCATTTGAATATTCATAAGCAAGTAAATGACTAGTAGATGATTTTGTCAAATGACTATACCAGTGATTGATAGTTACTTTTTTTTTAATAAATTTTTTATTAGCATATATACCTTATACAGGGGGATAGTTGCTTTCTTTGTAAAATGAACACATAATAACTATAGACTTTTAGGTTATATTAGATTTAATAACAGAACTAACTTCTTACCCTAGTTTTTCCCATGTTTATTGGTATTTTCCTTCGTCTCTTGAAACTTGGTCAGCTCAACTAGCTGAGTTACTGGCAAAATAGGAAAACTAGTTAGTGATTATCTCTGGTTGCCATTGGAAGTTAAAATTCTCTTGTTACTGAGATTACTCACTTCTGTGCTACCTATTTATACACTGAAATAAAGAGAGGTTACTAATGGATGACATTTAGATGGAAAACATTTTTTGTTCTTTTGGAGTTTACCTTGTAATTAGTAATTACGTTAAAAGGCATTAAGTTGCTTCAGTCATTTACCATGAAGTTCTAGACAAGTGTTTTGTAATGAACAGAATTACATGTACACTAAACTTCATTTTGTTTCCAAAATAAGACAATAGTTATTTTTTTCAGAACCTTTGTTTTAGACTGGTTTGAGAGTTTGGAAAAATATTAAGGGATAGATACTGTGTTGTGTCAGCCAAACATGGCACTGAGTACTTTGTATCTTTTTTTTAAATCTCCAAAACAACCTGTGATGAATGTAATGGCTTATGCAGTGAGAAGTACCCCTTTGATGAAAAGTCTGGTGGAATGAAAGCTAAGAGCCTGAGGGTTCAGACCAGGTGTGCCTACTACTATGGTACCTGAGACAAGATTGCTTAAGAATAGAAATTCACATTCCATTTGCCTAGTGAACAATGTAGAGAATTTTTGTGGAGAAAACCACACACACATTGAAAATACAAAAAAAAATGCTAGAAAAACATAACTTTGTGATCTTGGTTATTTCTGGAGAAACATCAAAGATATATTGTTTAGTTTTTAATTCTAGTTTCCAAAATAACTGTCACTTCTGTGTTTGCATATAGTAACTCTGAAGCATATTTGGTTTCTATTTAGGTTATTTTCAGGGAGAGAATATAGAAATTTTAATCAAACTTAGTGATTGAAATAGCAATAGGACAAAATTGAAAAGAACCACAAAAATCATGTCTTTATACGTATATTCTTGATAACACAGTACTTGTCACATAGTAGGTGTCTATTAAATTTTTAAAAATTTATGACCTGAGCATCTGTGAAGCCATATAAAGTTATTGTAACATTAGGGTGATTTTATTATATATAAATTTTGAATGAATATTTAGAATAATTTCATAATTGTTAAAGTAGACTTTTTCCAATATCATTTTGTTTTGTAGGACCTATATAAATCAGCCTTCTTTTATTTCGAAGGAACATTTTACAATGATAAAAGATACCCAGAATGCAGAGATTTGAGCAGGTACAATTTTTTAAACTCTTCTCAAAGTTTTTCCTATTTCTAGTTTTCAAATTAGTGATAGCTCCATAAATCCTATTATTGAACTATTAAGCATCTATGCCAGAGAATGATTTATAAAATTTGTATTGAATTCTGCATGCATCTAAAGAAATTAGGTTCCACTAAGTTACTTTACTAATCTCTGGTTTTTATATATAGGTAATAGTAATGAATTACTCAAGTTTTAATCTCATTACATTAATGTGACCTCTTTTGGGGAAAAATATCTTGTCTAAAATAAGTTGCATTGTTACACATTTTGTATTCATGATGAAGTGGTACACATCACACAGCCTCCTGAATACTGGTCATTTATGAGAGCAAGAGTTGAAAAGAGCAGACAGAATTATTGTGAAGATAATTTTGACCTCACAGACCACACTTTGAGAACTGCTACTCTAACAGATGGAGAAAAATTCAGTATTCCTAATTCCAGAATGTGTCAACCACTGTGGTCTTCTTGTCAAGATGGCAACTCCAGTTTACTGGGTGAGCCAGAAAATGTAAAATACTGTTTGTACTGCAGGCACAAACTTTTGTCATTTTTAAGTTTTTGTGTAGCAATGATGTATCCTTGCCTTTCTCCCCACCCCCAGAACTATCATTGAATGGTCAGAGTCCCATGATAGAGGCTATGGAAAGTTTCAGACTGCTAGAATGGAAGATTTCACCTTCAATGACCTGAATATTAAACTGGGCTTTCCCTACTTATACTGTCACCAGGGAGACTGTGAACATGTTATTGTCATTACAGACATAAGGTGGGTACCAGCACCAACACTTTGTTATTATATTTTCTTACCCCTCTCACCCACCCCATTATCCCATTTTCCATCTCTTTAATAGTATAAAACTACAGGTAGTTTTAAAAAAAAATAGGAAGAGGAACAAAAGGAACCATCACTGCCTCTTGGTATGGGAGCAGCAAAAAAATTTTTTTCCATGCAGTGACCAATTCTGCATCATTTGTATGGTCTACTGTTAAATTTTTTTGAAAATTTTTAAGAAATAATTTACTTTTTATTACTGGGTTAAAGGTCTGTAAATACTTTTTTAAAAATATTATTTGTATATTAAATACTTGCCATTTATGTAGCAGTCATCCATTTTGTGTATGATGTAGTTTTTTTGCTTTACAGATTGCAACTATACTCTTAGGACATTCCTGGGGATGGTGTTGTTGCTGCTTTTGCTGCTTCGGGGTTTTTTTGGAGAAGGGTGTGTGTATGTAGTGCAGGGAATAGAGCCTGGGGCCTCACACATGCTAGGCAAGTGTCCTACCACTAAGGTGGACCCCCAGCCCTATTCCTGTTTCTTGTCCTGCCAAAACATGAAGAGTTAAAAGGTAACTGGGAGAGGGAGACAAAAAGAACAATTCTCATCTTTGACAAATGCAAAGTCTTAAATGCTTTGATAAAGATCTGAGTTTTGAAGGAGCTAAAATCATCTAATAAAAGACTTAAGGATTAGTTTAATATTTTTTCCTTTCTTATGAATTTTTAATTTAATATTTTGTACAGCTGTTATCTGTATTCCTCATGCATGAGGCTATTCATTTCCTCATGTAGGACATCTCAGTTTAAGAAGGTTCAATATGTAGGAATAACCCTTGCTCTAGGTTTGAGTCCTTCTGAGAGACTTTTTTTTTTCTTCTGGTGGAACTGGGGTTTCAACTTAGGGCTTTGCACTCACGGAGAAGGCACACTGCTTCTTGAGTCACACTTCCCTGAGATACCATTTTAAATTTTCAGTACAGCAAAGATATATCCATGTTTTTATTATACCAGTAATAGGAACTCATGCTTTTAAAAGAAAGTCTCTGCTTCCATTCCTTTTTTGTCTTTGTGACTGATCTCCAAAATTTTATATCCCATGCACTCAGTCTCAGGAAGGTACCACAGGAAGTATTTTACTTAATGAGTAAACCATGATAAAGATGTGGGATGCAGTACAGAAAAGATTGTGGCTTAGGTGGAAGTAGTACTAATCCATCAAAATTTAAGCATGAATATTTAATCAAAATAGCTCTATAAAGGAAAGTTGATAAGCTAAATTTAAAAAAATAAATGGTTAACAGGTGCCTCTGGGGAAGAATGGTGGGGCAAGAGCTAGAGTTTGTAAACCTCATGTTTATATGACCTTTAAAGCTATTTACAATACATTTACATCTTTGGTAATGTTATTAAATTTTAGATAAGCCATTCTCTTCCATTCAAATGAGAATGTGTGTGCCTTGTAATAAACATAAGATAAAAAGTGGCTGTGGTTGTAGCTCAGTAATGGATTGCTTCTTTACTGTGCATGAAGCCCTGGGTTCAATCCCTAGCATTACAAGGAAAAACAAAAAAATGGAAAGGTGATCCACTATTCTGTGGTCTTAAGTTTCCTTCTATTTCTCATAATGTAAGCATATTGCTATAAATGGTATTTATAAGGATAAAACATGGCCCTTAACTCAAGGGTTAACTTCCTGATGTAATAGCCAACAAGAGAAGTAACTATCCATCTTTATGCTAAAGAAAAAGCAATTTACACTTACCAAGAGTTTGCAATGTGAGACTGTTCATTTTATAGGTGGATTTAAACTTTCAATTTGCACACTACCATCAAAAATCTGTTTTGTGGTAGTGAAGTTTTGTATATTGCTCCCCTTTCCTCTCTCCAACTCTCCTCTTCCCCTGCCTTTCCCCCTCACTAAGTGAGCCCAAGCTGGTCTTGAACCTCCCTTCTGCTTTGCCTTCCTAGTGCTCTTGCTATCCTTTTACAAAAAAGTAAAAATCAAAAATTTTAAATTGTTTGATATTTATCCAAAGCCACCCAGCTGGTTAACTGCAGAGTAGAGACTGAACTCCACTTAGAGTCTCTTAAAAGCTAAGTTTCATAATTCTGACACCTAAAACTAAGATCCCACCAGTTCGTATTATACCAGGAGCCAGATTTAGATTTTTAAAAACGGGAACAGTAAAAAAACAAAAGCCATGTAGCAACCAGTTAATCTATGTAAAACATCAAAGTAGCCTTGCTCAAACTATATTCCATAAATAAAGGTGTTAAATGTTAAGCAAAGCAAGGATTCTCTGATGGAATACATTTAAGAAATGTTGTATACTCCCTTTTAGAGGTCACAGTGCATTTTAGCATAAAGGGAATCTAGAACTCTCACATGAAAGAAAGCATTACATAATTGAAAATGCTTTTCAGAAAAAGAGTACAACACCCTAAATCTTTGAAAACTGTACTTACTATGTTCCTAATGTTGAAGTGTAGACATACTTAATGCTTTGTGTAATAAAGGTTTGTACTATATCTTAATCTGTTTTCTCATAAACAAAAGGCTTGTGCATCACGATGACTGCTTGGATAGAAAACTTTATCCTCTTCTTACCAAGAAGCACTGGCTATGGACCAGAAAATGTTTTGTTTGTAAAATGTACACGGCTCGGTGAGTGATAACCTATTATTTTTTTTCCCTCTCAGAGGCATTGTTTTCTCAGTAATTAAGTACTTCAGATATTTGTGTTCTATTTTGGATCAAAGAATTTAGTTGTGAACTAGTTTTACATAGTAGGCTAAGTGATATAAAGTCAGCTTAGTGGCCTAAAATTAGCATTTTGTTGTTTTGTGCCAAGTGTTGGACCTAGGGCCTCTTATAGGCTAATCAGCATGTTCTCTATCACTGAGCCATACCTCCTTAGCATTTTTAAACAAGGGGAAAATAAAATATATGTCCAGGGGCAGATTAGACTTCAGCATTGAAACAATACTTAGGGAGCTTTCTTACAGTTTACAAAATCAGCTTCATCCTATAGCATGTCCTCATTGAAAAAATATAACCAGGTTTGATGGTGCACACCTATAAGGAGGCAGGAAGATTGTGAGTTTGAGGCCAGCCTAGGTATTGTAGCAAGATGTCTCATAATTTAAGGTTGGGATGTAGCTCAGTATATGTGCAGGGCCCTGGATTCAGTTGTCAGTACTGCAAAAAACAAAGGTTTTGCTTTTATGTGTTCCTACTGTTAATCAAAAAAAATCCAAAAAAAGATGGAAACTACTCAGAGGAATAGGGAAGAACATAGTATCTTCTTTTAGCTTTGGGTTCCCTACCACAATATAGCTTTCTAAAAGATGATTTTAACAAATCGTTAATCAGACCAAGATGAAAATCGAGGATTGTTAAAAGCAAACATTCTGTGACATTCAAAATGCAATTAAACTGAGATCATTTATCTTACTAGGACAGTAACATCTTGGGACCAAAATAATCTTAGTTGAATAATGGTGCCCATATTCCCATTTCTATATACGCTATATTTTATCAACTGAGTTTAAACACTTCATTTTTCCAAATTAACCACTACTTAATTTACCAGTTAAAGATGAGCTGGTGGTAGCAGCTCACACCTGTAATTCTAGCTACTTGGGAAGCTTGAGATTGCAAGGATCTCGGGCAAATAGCTCGCCAGACCCCATCTCCAAAGTAACCAGAGCAGAATGGATTCAAGCAGTAGAGCTTCTGTTTTGCAAGTGCAAAGCCCTGAGTTCAAACTCCAGTCCCACCAAAAAAATAAAGTTAGTGTTAACATTGGCAGCATTGGAACAATACAGAGGGGTTAGCATGGCCCCTGAACAAGGGTGACATGGAAATTTGTTAGGTGCTTCATATTTCTTTTGGTAGCACAATAGGGTAACTAGCATCTACAGTAATTTGATACATTTCAAAATACCTAGAAGAGATTGAAGGTTTTCACCAAATAGAAATAATGTTTGAGGAGATAGAACTGGGAGACTGAGACAGGACTGTGAGTACAAGACCAACCTGGATCATATAGTAAGATCCTGTCCCCCAAGATTAATAAAATTTTTAAAACTTTAAGGAAAAGTACATAACGTCTGTAGCATCTAGTTTTATTATGGTTTCTCAAGGTGGCTTATTAGGAAAAAGTACAGTAAATTACTTGGAGGACAGGTGTGTCATGGGACATGTATGATCTACATCTTTATCCTCAAGAGGAAATCTTAGGATTCTGCAATGTCTGTTACTGGTAAGGCAACAGTACAAATGTTAGGTTTACATAATGTTGATGCATGAAAAAGGTAATGATGGACACCTTTTCTTTTTTTTTTTTTTAACACTACAGATGGGTAACGAACAATGACAGTTTTGCACCAGAGGACCCATGTTTCTTTTGCGACATTTGCTTCCGAATGCTCCATTATGATTCAGAAGGCAACAAACTGGGGGAATTCCTTGCTTATCCTTATGTTGATCCTGGAACCTTTAACTAAGAATGCTTCCCCATACCCCTGGCCAAAACAAAGTCCAATGTTTAGAAATGTTAAATTATTTCATTTATAGTATTTATTTCAAAGTTTTTTTTTATTTTATGTGTTTTACTCATTGTGAGTTGCTCATCTTATTGAGTTGTAGAAGTGCTTTATATATTCTTAATATATGTTTTGTCAGATACACAGCTTCTGATTCTGTTCTCCCAATCCATGGCTTGCCTATTCATTCTGTATCCTGAGAACTTTTTGCTAATGATAGAATGCAATTAATGATAAATCAGGTGGCAGAGTGTTTTGAAAATTCTTTGAAGAATGTGAGCTACACCTTCTACCATGAAGCTTCCAAGGTAAAGATCCTTCAAATATCTGTAATGAAAGTTACAGGGAGAAGTTAAAAATGAGCAAATTATTTTTAAAATAATACAAAATAAGAATGGTTATAATGTAATTTTATAGTGGGCTCTTGTGATAGGTTTTAGATAGAAGCCACACATATTAGGTGTTCTTAATGAGACTATGATGTTCATGAATAATGAATGTAAAAAGATCTTAAGTATATACTAATACTTTCACAGTTGTATTTAAAATGAGGTCTCATTTCTTGAAAATTTATGAGCCACAAATGCCAAGTTGTTTTAAAAACAACAATGTTCTGATGAAACAGTAACGTATTTCCTGCTACCATGGAGACATGGGAAAAATCATGGTCATATACATTGCTAGCTGTGGCTCACTTATTCTTGGGCAATAATACGGTTGCAAGTGTAATAATAAGCAAAAACAAGTAAATACTATTTTCTGGCCAAGTTTTTCATTCTTCTCATTCCTTTACTTATTACAATGATCCTATTCTTTTTTAATTCTTTGCCAAAAAGAACAGGGAACTTAATATATTCCCTGGTCAAAATATTTTGTGAAACCTTGTAAAATTTAATGCTTTTTAGTGAGACTTTTAGGAATGCTGTAAAATAAGATTTTGAATATTTAAGTTTCACTTTTTCTCTTCTAGGATGTATATTTAAATTCAGCTGAATTCTACATTTCTCTGGATGGCTAAGAACAGATATTTACTATATAAATCAAAAACAAAAAAAATAATGAAGCCTATCTGTTTAAAAGATTGACAGTGAAGTATTTTCATGGACTGAAATGTCACAAATCCAATTAAGTTGATTGATACGGAGATGACAAGTACCTGTTTCTGGTATGTCTAGAGATACTCACAGTCACTGATTTAGTCAGTACAGAGGATCAGCACAGACCATTAAGAAGCCCCTCCATGGCTGGCTTACGTTGTGCCTAAATTTTTACTTTCCTGTATCCAATGGTGCTAACATTGAGCAGACTGAAAATTCTGCTGGAAAATCATAGATTTAAGATGACCAATCAGTGATTTACCCAGTTCCTAGAAGTCCACAGGTAAAAGTTATTTTTGATTCCTTTACTTGTAATACTGCATTTCTTACAGCTCTTGCCTTAATATGGGTCTGTTTGATTCATTTTCACTTCATACTCCCACAATAGCAAATTTCACAAAGTTAATTTACCCTTAATGCATTATCCCACAAATGATGCCAGTCAATCCATTTTAGTGGACATGCAGATATTAGATAAAACATTTCTGTATTAGAACTCTTATTTTATCATTTATTGAGAATGTTATTCTTCTAGCTGAGTTAACATTTTTATCAAAGACTCAGATACCTTCCTATTGTTTCCTGGCGAAACTGAGAGGAAGGGCTGGCCAGGTTACCACCACAGTTGGCATTACTCATCATTTGTTATAGGTATCCCACCAAGTTCATGTCAAAAGAGTAACTTGTACATTTTGAAACTATAAAATCCCTGATCTGATACAGCTTTTCTTTATGCTGCTTTCAATCTACCGAACATGTCATGACTGTAAAATTACATGTATTTTATCTAAAAAACAAAAGCAAATATGAAAATGTTGTCATGCACTTACAGTGAATATTCTCTAATTAGAAATTAATTTGGTTTGATTTAATTAACAGTGGATGCACATGCACTATACAGAAAAGCAATACTGTTTCCTTAAAAACCTTCTCAGGCTTCAGAATCCTTTAAAGATAACTAGACATTGCAGTTTACTGAGGGAAAAGGTTAGTCATCTTTAAACATCTTTGTTGGAGAATTACACAGCACAAACACAAGCACATTTCTGCCTAGTATAGTAACTTCTTCATTTCTTAAAAGTTTAAAGATACACGTTTGCTATTTCAAGTCCATCATTCTCTGGCCATTGGGACAAAACTTATTAATGAAGCCCTCACAGAGCTATAAAAACCTTTGTTCTGATACAAGATTAGATGGCCAACCTTGTCTTGACCTGACATCTTTAATCAGGTAAGTGGATGTGAGTAGGAACACTTTTAGTGTACTACACCTCACTGTATCAGCAGAAACTGGTAAAACATAATTTGAAAGTACTAGAGGCAAGAAGCAATTATGAGGCTTAAAGTACTGTGATCAAATTGTTACTCCATACAAACTCCCAATCATGCTCTCCATCTAAACTGTCTCAAAGCAGCTGAGAAAACCTTCAACAGTCATTACTCTTCAAAATGTTTATCCAATGATCAAAAGCACAAAATGATATTGTTCATGCTTGCATTTTCGGGGAGAAGGGTGTTACCTCACCAAAATGATCTCTCAGTGACTTTTTAACCAAATATAACAATTTAAGTAGAACCAATGCTCCTGAAGGTTCTTGATAATCATTCATAAAGCCTTAAGAGTTCTGAGAATGATAGTTATCTATGAAACACCCTATGATGAACAAAATTTTAATATTCAAAAGAAGGCAACTGTGCCTAGGAGAACATACATCACTTGTTAGACCACGCAGATAGTATCAAAATGCTGCTAATACCCCACAAGCTGAATGTTCTTGTTTCTTGTACAGATTAAGTCATGGAAGGTGAATAAAGAAATTAAAAAACCCATTTCCTTTATTTTTATTATCTAGCGCTTACTGTTTGGTAAATGTAGTATTCCCAATCATAATCTTAATGACCAGTTAAGAAATTGTTTCCTTAGCAGCATATCCAATATTCCTTCACTTACACTTTCAAAATAGCAATGAAGTAATTTACTCTATTGTTTGATAAAAAATTTTCTTTAATCAAAACAATTTTATACATCGACACTTATGGCTTAACGAGAATAAATTCTGTCCAAGTTAAAATTGTACTTAAGGACAAAACAGATACTGACTGGTATATATAATAGAATAGCAGAGTTCCCTCAAAACAGTAGTCCCATTGTAAGCTCTCAAAAGCAAAAATCCAATTAGTTGAAATAATTCGAGGGTTTATGTATAGATGAAAACAATTATCCTAGAGGTCAATGTATGCATATCAAAAACACTGGTGTTAAGTTACTTTCCCATATAAAGAACATTGTATCAAACTGAGCTAATATTCAAAATAACTTGGAGATGCTATCCCTTAGTTAAAAGGCCCTTAAATACTGTGTTAGCATTGGTTCACTGATCAGGAGCAACTGTTTCTAACATTTTAATCCTGTTACATGAACGGTAAGAGAAATTAAATACTAAGTTCCTTCCATGTTTTCAAATAGGTTAGTTTCCTTACATAGCATTTATTTGTATCTACTACATAAGCATGATGGGTTTTTTCCCCCAATTTAAAAAATACTACCTTGTGATTTTTTTAATGAGTGTGACTTAAAAAACTTTTTTTAAAGACATTTAAATTTGTTTAGTTCTCAGGTTTTGTTACTAGTGCCTGCAAAAGATCTTAGATGGCTGACCCCTATCTAAAGCCAGATTCATTTCCTATACCCAGTCTTTCTCTGCAAGGGAAGTTATGTGACTTGACTAAATTTCCAGCCACATAACCAAATTACCTTCAAAAAAGTTAACGTGAGATTGTTTGTACCTCACAGAATTATTACTTTAACATTGGTTGGACAACTAGTCATACAAAAAGGCATACAAACTACACATTGTTACAAAGAATCAGGGAAATGGAGTACAATGTAGACTGAGATTAAAATTAACTTTTGATAAAAGGAGGGAGTGAGTACTTGTTTAGAAGTAACATTTTATCCAACCATAAAAATGCTCAACTTCTACAAAACCCACAGTGAAAAGACAGTCTGTTAAATCCAAGATTTGTAAAAACTGCACAAAAGCCACAGTATTTGGGAAAAGTAGTTTTAAAAATGTAACTTTTTTCCACTACCAATTACACATTTAACATACACACACTAATTGAAAATACGCTACAACCATGTCTGGAAAAGCAGTTTAACATTTTTCTAAGTGGAATTTCTCCCACGTTTACTGTATAATGTAGCTGCTAATACTGCACAAGTACAATTAGCAATAATGTTTAATTACTTTTGAACAAAGAAAGGGATTTTCTCCCTCAAAACAAGTTTCAAACATCAAAACCTATGCTTATAAAAATTTAAAATTTTCAGCAGTCTAAGTATTTTAAGTGAAAACCATTACAAACTTCTCAAATGTTCTGTATATTCCAGGTCTGTCAATCTAGTTATCTAGTGCAGAGTCCTTCAGAGATATTTCAGTCTCTCTCTCTTCTCCAGATGGCCTAAAGAGAAGGGAGAAAGAAGTCTGACAACTGGAATTTTTTAAAATGGTCATTAAATCTGCATTCTGTTTTTTAAAATCACAAAACACCTTTCATTTCTAATTAACAACACTTTTTTTATTTAACCATGTATCTTCTTTTCAAAGTAGTATGAAGATCAAGCACAATAATCTAGATATTTTGTAGCTTTAAAAACAACATGAGCATTTATATCTGTGATAACATATTACAAACTTTACTAAACCTTAATTTAGAATTAGAAAGTCCTTCAAATGAACAAACTAAGAATTGGGCAACTACAATTCCACAGCTAGTTACTTTAGGGTAAGGTTACAATATCAAATAGTGGGCAATTTAATTCTACATCTAGTTCATATATTCTCTCAGAATTCAAGAAAGTGTGAAAGTCATTAATACTACATCAGAAAAGAAGTGCAAAGAAGAAGTTATTTCCTGTAACTGAATTCCAACCCAGCTCCATTCCTTAAATACACTGACAAGTTAATTGTATGTAAATTTATTCCTTTGTCTCTTCCTTGTTTTTTGATGCTAGAGATTAAACTCAGGCACATGTGATATCACTGAACACTCCAAGCCCTCTCTCTTCTGCCTTTTTGAGTATAACTTGCTTACTAAGTTCAGCAATTAAGCGATCAAAATATAACCCCTGCTGCAGGTGTAACGAAGGGATAGAGCACTAGATTACCATGATTGAGACCTTGGGTTCAAGTCTCAATACTGGAAAAAAAATTAAAAATAATTACAATCTTGCAAAATAACCTTGGAACAGTACTGTTATTAGGAACTCAAATAAGAGGGCCAGGTGCAGTGGAGCACAGCTATAATCCCAGCTATGTAGGAGGCAAAGATTGGGAGGATTGTGGTTCCAGTCCAGTAGGGCAAAATGTTAGTGACTAAGCTGGGCATGGTGTAGGAAGATCATGCTCTGAAGCCAGCCCAGGCCAAAAAAAAAAAAAAAAACCAAACCCTCCAGACCCTATCTGAAAAACAAAGTAAACAGGGCTTAGAGTACGGCTCTTGTGGTAGAGTGCTTGCCTAGCCCTAATAGCACTGCAGGGGGGTGAAGCCCTAATAGCACTGCAGGGGGGTGAAGCCCTAATAGCACTGCAGGGGGGTGAAGCCCTAATAGCACTGCAGGGGGGTGAAGGGGTTGGGAGGGTGTGACTGGCCTGAATGAGAAAGTCACATGAGCCAAGAGGACTGCTTCAGCTTAGGAGTTAGAAGCCAGCCTAGACAGCACAGCAAGATCCCTTTATTAAAAAAAAAAAAAAAAAAAGGCAGCCTGCTGCTTGTGGCTCAGGTATATAATCCTAGTTTTCAATAAGTAGATCAGAATTACAGTTTGACCCTATCTCAAAAATACTCTGACACAAAAGAGGGCTGGTAGAGTGGCTCAAATGGTAGAGCACCTCCATAACAAGGGTGAGGCCATGAGTTCAAATCCCAATACTGTCAAAAAAAAAAAATTAAAACATGTTCTCACTTTTTCTTACTGCTGGCCTCGTGGTTGTCCTTGCTTTCTTCATTGCTGTCTCCATTATGTTGCGGCTGATTACTGTCTTGAGCATCAGACCCTCCATTTACAGTCTTTGAACCTTTAGAAGGATTCCAATGGAAAAACCTTGTTAGAGCTTACAAAATAAGACGTCCCATAAAAATTCAAAATCAAAACTAGAAATGGTAGTCAAGTTTGTAATGGGCATTAATTTTAGGATTAAGTTTTGATACCATTAAAAAGCTATACTGTCAACACCAACATCCTCTGAGTAGCTAAGGCACAATGTGAAGCAGGACTACTGCATTCTTTATGAGTAAAGGAATTGGGTTACTAAACTCATCTAGCTACTATAATCAAATTTTGTATTTATCATTATTGATATTTTAGAACAAAAAGTGTTAATAGTATTTCCTAAATAACATGACTCTGTATCTAATAAGTAAACCATGGGGATTTTAAGTATACCTATTGTTTCATAAGAATTTAAAGAAAAAACTCAAAAATTGCTTTTGTAATAACTAGTTTTTACCTGAAGCAGCTACCAGTTCATTAACATTGAATCGGGGCTGCTGATAATGGTTTACCATTCTATTTTTAAAGTTCTTTGTAGATAATAACTGTGTACAGAGTTAAGTATCTCCTCTCCAAACTGCTTAGAACCAGAAGTGTTTAGGAGTGATTTCCAAACACACTGTACATGAAACACAAGTTTTATACTGTAAACCATCAGAAAAGCAAAGACATGTCAGCCATATCAACAACCCATGTGGATAACCAGTAGCTGTTTGGCATCACCATTATTCCTGACTACATTTATATGCTACTGATAAGCAATCATTTTCTTGTACTTACTCACACATAAGCACTTAACATTAAAAAAAATTTCATACCATTAGCACAGTGAAAAACTAATGTGTTCAGGGTGACTAAGCAGCACAGGTGCATCACCAGAATACCTGTATCACTTAGAAACAACAGCAATACAGCAGCAGCTCGCTCTCTACCTCTTGCTGCATTTTGATTATAAGGTTCTGTACACTGTATTTTTTTTTGGGCTGAGAAGACACATAAGCAATTGGAGTGGGTGTGGGCTGTTCTCTAGTGATAAGAAAGCATTCTGGTGGATACCTCTTTAAAAATTTTCTCCAGAATCTGCCTCATTAGCAACAGTTTTTGTGTTAGGAATGTCTTAAATTTTATTAACTGACATAATTTATGAATGTGTCCATTACACATCTTTGCCATGCCATCTACAGCCAATTCCTCTGCAGCGTTAATGTCATCTCCATTGTCATGTATCACCTGAATTCAGAACCATTTTGGCTATTCAAAAGTCAGTGAATGAATACATAATGGAGCCTTATTATTGATGTTAAAAGTGTCTCCAACATCCACTTCATCCGGCTTACTGGCAAACTCTGAAAGTGTATTTTCTGTGTATGTATTAAAACTACTTTTAAAAGCAATCCTGGCAAACAGTTAAAAATCCTGGCCTTAAATTTATTAACACATACCTGTTTGTTCTTTTTCTAGCTTTTTGTTTGGCCCTTTCTTTCCTTGATCTTTGGTTTTATTTGCTTCCTCATGCTGTCTTTGTTCAGCAATAGATTTATTCAGCACTTGAGTAATGACGGAATCTCCTTCACCAACCAAAAACATGTTCTTAAACTTGTTATACAACATTGTAGACTTTTCCATGATAACTTGACTAACTTTGAATCGCCGTATCTGAGAAAACAATAAATATTCATAATTGTTTTTCCTAGTTGATACATTTTTACTTTATTTTTAATGAAGAAATGAGAAAAACTTAATACTACATGACTTGAAATCACTTACTTTTTTCAGTGTTGTAATCATCTCTGTGTGTTTCTGAGCTTGTTGCATTGTGACCTGAAGTGAAGCAAGTTCATCCAAGGCCTCAATGCATCTGTTCACATCCTTCATGACAAAATTAATGTCATTAACTGTTAATTATTACAGTATATATAATTTCTGAAGATTTTTAAAAACTCAGAGCCTACAAAATGACCACTGTCCCTTTTATCTTAAACTTATATAACTACAAAATCATGTGTGAAAATAAAATAGGAAATTATCAAAGCTCTGTATTTTTTAATGAGGTTGAACACTTACAAGATTATCAATTTTGAGTGAATTTTTTATTTCAGCATGTATCCTTTGAAGTCGGGAATCCATTGATGTTTCTATAAATTAAAAACAGTAAACAGTTTTTCCCAAACTAGTATTTCTGGTGACAGTCTAAGCAAAGTAAGAAATGGAAAGAAGTAACAGCTATGGACTGAAGGAGTGGCTCAAGTGGTACAGTGCCTGCTTTGCAAGCCTGAAGCCTTGAGTTCAAACCCCAGTCACACCAAAAAAATAAATAAATAGAAGTAATGGCTATAAAATTTTTCTTCGTAATCTTTACTAAGAAACACATATAATTTTTAATACATGGTTTAAGAAAGCAACATGAAGCATAAAAGCACAATATCGCTATCTAGCTGCTATTTGTTTCTAATATAGTCTGAAGCCAAGAAGGAACACTCCACTACATACCAGTCCTCAAATATTTGCTTTACCCTATATTTAACCTCAAGGGATTTGTCAAAAATGGGAAAGCTTTCAACTTTTGGCAAAGTTACACAAATCTGACATCAAATGGTCATTAAAACGTAAAGACAAGTTAGCAAGTTCACCTGATCATGCTTGAAAGAAATGCAATTTACTCAGAATCCACTAGGGATTTGAAAAAGTATATTTGTAGGGTTTAAGAACATAAAAGGAGACCCATTTCAGAACAGTCATAAAAACTGTCTACATAACTTTCTACATATATTTTTTACAGATCTTAGAAAGTAAAGGAACTAACCTCTCTTCTTCTCCACTTTCTTAACTTCTGGCTTCTTTCCTTCATCTTTATTCTGCCTATCAAATGTTAACACAAATATTTCAAAACATTGGAACTTCGTTTCTTTGATTACCAAATATCCATAATCCCTTACATAAAAATTTAAAATTTTTCCTTAAAAGTAAGTCAATACCCTAGACCACAAGGAAGTAGCTAGTTTTCAGAACTATGCAGTTCCTACCTTTAGCATAAGTGAAACTCAAACACACCCAAGTAGACAATCTCACAATTTCCTTAAGTGAATAAAAAATGATTTTCCCTGCTAAAGTGAAATTTTCTTTCCAACAGTAAATGACATGCTAAAAGCCCAATTTCAGAATCACTGGACAAATAAGCTGTAATAGGTAGAAAAACCTAACAAACATTTAATGGGTTCTACATACAATTACTTTAAAAAGAAGCATGCCGGAATTGACCACTTGAATTGTTCCCCTTATCTCCAAAGGGCAGATAATTTGAGGGGTTTGAAGTTAGCTTCAACATTAGACTGCTTGAACATGATACAATAAATATATATATATATATATATATATATATTTTTGGGTGGAGAGGCAGTACTCAGGGCTTCAGGTTTGTGAGGCAGGCACTATCACTTAAGCCACACCTCTAGCCCTTATGATACTTTTTTTAAATTGAGGGGAAAGTCAATATAATTCAATGACATCCACTAACACATACCATTTCACAAATGAAAAAGTGACATTTTACTGTAAATCACAAAAATAACCATTTAAAATTGAAAATGATTTCTAATACCTTGGCTTGGAGTTCAGGCCATTTAATGAACCAATTAAAATAGACAAGAACAAAAAAATACCTAAAAATCAGTTTTTTTTTTAAAAAAACTTTATTTTAAAATTTTGGTTACAGTTTCATATTTTACTTAACAAGTCTACTGTTTAATCTCTCAGGATTTAAAAAAAAACAAGAGTCTAAAGAATTAAACAACAAAGGAAGGTCAAGGAAAGGGCGCAACTGCCCCATTCTCAGGGGGGTGTAATAGCTATTCCAGTTGAATACCTAGCTTCAAAACAATACGAATTTTTATATTTTCTAAATGAAATAATGTACAACCACCATCTTCATCTACGCTTGTTATAACTTTCAAACACAAAGCTTCATCTTAAGCTTGGTAAAAAACTTAACAGGAATGATGGCCAACCTTAATATGTAGTGTATACCTTACAGGAAATTTTGTTAACAATCATAACATAGTAATAATGCCATTAATAGTGAAGTCCTCAATTTAGAATCTGGAACATTCTTCCATCAAGGGGGGGAAGGGGGAATTTCAGTCCAATGAGTCTGTCTCAAGATCTTCATCTCTTGTTTGCTCCACTTGTATTCTCTTTTCAGTTACTGGATTAATGCTTTGAGCCCAAAATGAGATATATTTTTTATTACTGTAGATTACATGTTGTTTGGCTGGGAATACAATACAATAAACTTTATTTTGCATAATGCATTTCACACAGTTGCATCTGAAATGCTTTACAGAGCAAAACTGTCCAAGTACAAAGTTTTGTAATAACAGGAGAAGGAAAGAAAACACAAGTATTAGAATTTGAGAAAGTTACATTGGAGGACATTCAAAAGAAACTGAAATACATAAAACTTTGAGATACTGAAGAAGGGTTGGGGCTAGATTTACTTAGCAACATCTAATTTTATATCTTAACTTTGGGAGCACAGTAAAGTTAAAAACAAGGAACAGTCCAACAGCTTTTCAGTGAAAAAAGACAGAGAAGGATAGATAACAAAAAAAATTTACATAAGTGGTCAAAGTCTAACATTGGGAGTAACATTTCTGAGTTTATCAATTTTTAAGTTACTCCCTCTCAAGCAGCTAAAACTGCTTAGATATCCTCCAAGAAAGCAGAGTCAAATGCTGTATTTAGAGTTGGTTTATGGATGCATTATATAAAAAGAAAAACAGAAAATTATTCAAGAGCTGATTGGAGTCTCACTGCTCATCATGAACTGTCTTAGTGACCTAGAGCATGTTTTTAAAATTACCTCCTCACTAAGCAACAACAACAAAGTTTAGTCAGAGTGCAAAACACTTCACAGGCAAGAAAAGTATTTCAAAAAAGAACTTAGAAATGATAGTCTAAAGATGTAATAAGGACAAATGTAATAAGGACACTAACGATTTTTACTTCAACTAATAAAATTATCTTTATTCACTACAGGGGAAAGAAAGTACTGTGGTAAGTTTATAGTAACTCCAAGTATCAAAACTGAAAGGAAAAGACTCTCATTTGATTTATATTGCACATATCAAATGTAAACCCTGTAAGCCTTTTGGTTTATTTTTATTGGATTCCTGGGTTTCCAACTGTGCTTTTGTTACTTTTGCTGGTCTTTAGGGGCAGGCCTGCTGGTGGTATGACAAAGAATATTTCCTGCATTCTTTACCCACCAATATATTATCACCACTCTATGTTTAATACATTACACAAATAGCAGAGGTTGAGTAAATTTTCTGCAAATCACTAACAGTTAAAACCTAACTGCAGTAGTTCACAGGATGACTGCTTTAGTGAATTTCATCCTCTCCTCAGAAAATAATGAAGCCTGAAGTATCATCATCATTTATGGAAGATTTTTCTAACATATGGGAAATGTTACTTCAAAAGGCTTCAAAAAGTCTGGAAAATGAGTCTACTATTTTAGAACTTTCATGCTAGCTTTAAAAAAGAACCCAGATTTTAAAATTAAAAAAATACTTACTGCTCCGTTTCCATTTGTTCTTCTTGCTTGCGTTTTCGATCTGCAGCCTCTTTCTCATGTTGGCCTTTTAGCATATTCCTTCTGTGAGCTGTCTGAAAGTTTCTTCCACCCTTTCTCTTCTGTTTTATTGGAGAATTAGGATTTAGTTAACTATGGTGTCAGGACTCTAATTATAATCTTAGGAGAAAAAAAGCAACTAATTTTAAGAAACACAGGCTTAAATTAGTAATTTAAAGAAAAAAACCCACAACCCTGAATTCCACCTTCAGCCTGGAAATGTAACTTCTCTTTATAAATGTCTACTCCTTGCCCTGCTGTAGAAGTGGTGCCTTTGGGTAAAATAAAGTATTGTCAGCCTGTTTGCCTCTACAGTGACTTTTAACCTGAATATTGATAAGTACAGTACTCAAATATTCAATTAAAAAAATTCTGGATTCTAAAATATTAAGAAATGAGACAAAAATCAGAGTAAAAATATAAGTCCTTTATCTCTAAGGCTATGCACAAAATTTGTGTTTTGTACACAACAGAACACATTAGCTTCAGTAAGATTCCCAAATAAGATTCAATGGCATCCAATTAAAATTACATATCACAGATAAAATGTACAATGAATACAAATAAAAGAATTTATCGAGACAAAAATCCATAAACACAACCTTTTACCTTTGTCTTCACTGGTCATAGTCAACTTGGCTTATTTAGACAGGTGGATTATTAGAAGATGTATTTAATTTTCCAATCATAATAGATTTTTTTTTTTTTTTGGGCTGCACTGAAGTTTGAACTCCGGGCTTTGCACTTGGTAGGCAGGCGCTCTACCACTTGGGCCTTTTTTGCTCTAGTTATTTAGGAAATACGTCTCACTTTTTGCCCAGGCTGGCCTGACCACAATCCTCCTATTTCAGGCTTCGTGCTGTCACTGGGATGACAAGCACAAACCACCAAGCCCAGCTACTGTTGAAATGGGGTCTCGCCACCTATTTATGCGGGCTGGCCTAGAATTGCCATCCTCATGATCTCAGCCTCCGAAGTCGCTAGGATTACAGGCGCGAGCCACCATGCCTGCTGTGAAAAGATAAATTTAGAATAGACTATCAAGGGAAATTTCAAAGACACTTTCTAACAGTTACTGGAAATCTGTTCAGAAATAGATCCAGGCTAACTTTCATAAAAATATTAAAAGCTTACTAGGTTAAGATTAAGAACTATATAAGAAATTTAGATGAACAATTTTTTTGAGGGGGTCAGGTATTGGGGGTTTGAATTCAGGGCCTCACACTAGCTATGCAGGTGTTCTCCCACTTCAGCCACTCTGACAGCCCCAAACTTTTATATGATACTTAAACTTTCTACCTTTTCACCTTCTTGATCATCGCCTTCTTCTTCAGAATCAGAGGTTGATGTAACACCTGTTTTAGCTACATTTTTCCTTTTTGATTCGACTTCTTTCTTCCCCTCCTTTTTGTCTGGTTCTTTTCTTGGCTTATCTTCTTCCTTCGGACCCTCTTCATCCTTTTTAACCTGCTTTTTAGCTTGTTTTTCCTCTTGCCCCTTTTTCTTACTTTTGTCTTCTTCAGTAACCCTATTTTGGAGAGTGCAACAATAGAAATGAGCTTTTATATGTTGTTACTTGTCATTCTTCTATTCTCTTCCAGTCACCAAGTAAATATTTCAGCATAGCAATGTTTCTACGTAAACATAAATCTAAAATATCTTTAAATAAAAGTATCTTACCAGTACATTATCAATGAAATTTTGTAAAAGAACATTCTTTTGATATAAAAGACACAAAATTATACTGGCATTAAGGTAATACAAAGTGATTCCCCTCAGTTTCCCAAGTTTCTTTTAAAGTGATTCAGTTGTTCATAAAAAAACAGAGTACTAACTATGTGTCATGACACTATGTGTCATGACACTTTTTAATTCTGGAGTTACAGCAGTATGTCATATGTCCTTGGCTTTTATAGAGGTTGCATGTTTGTATGTGTAGAGTTTATGTGTGTGTTATGGAGTTAAAATTCTACATATTTGTAGGAATAAATTTTGTTTAAAAGTAGACAAACTGGAAAAATTAGAACTGCAGAAGCAAAATCAAATGTAGCCATTTGGAATTCAAAGAAATATTCTTCAGCATAATGGTAAATACATGGCCAGTCGATTTAAGCATAATATTCACAGTGCTAAACTGATTAGCATCCAAGTATTCCTATCACCACTGGATTTTTTTTTTTGTAAATACTAAAACAAGTCAAATTACCTAACTTGTTCAAATGTCCTAATTACTTCTGGATATTTATGCAAATTTGAACAGTAGATATAGGCAATAGGAGAATCAAATGAAGCAATTATTTTTTGTATTTATGTCAAACTAGAGCAATTTCTTTGTACACACTTCAACCTGAAGGTTCTTAAAGTCTTTATTGTCCAAAGAATTTTTATTAAGATTTTCACAGATTACACAATTAATGTATTTAAAAGCTGGAAGGGACCTCATATCATTTAGTCCAATCCTTTCCACTTGACAACTGAGAAAAAGTTGCAAAAGGCCAAATAATAATCCCAGAATCTCAATTCCAAACCCACTGACCTCCTTCTAAAAAGTGCTCCTCAAAGACTTAAAGAGACCAGGTTAGAAGAGAAAAAAATATCACCTTTTGCCACTTTAGAATTTTTTTCAAGAAATTATCATTGGGTATTGCTTATTTTCAAATCTCATCCTGTCTTCATCTTTTACTTTCAATCAATGGAAGAAAGAGTACACAAGTAAAACCACACACTTTTTTCAGTATATCTACTAATAAATATTTTTTAACAATTTAAACATGGGAATAGTCAAATGCTAAAACCATTCTATAGCTCTTCAGCAGTATACCAACTGTTTTCCTCAAACCAGATGAAAGGAAATAGCTACTAAAAATACAAATACCACATGATTTAGAACTACTTCAAACAATGTATTCTAACAAATATATTTCCTCATGTACAAAACAACAGATGGCATTTTTTGGTTGCTTTGGGGTGGTAGTGGTGCTGGGGATCAAACCTAGGGCCTTGTGTATAGTAGCCAAGTACTGTACCACTGGCATTATCTCTAGTCCAGATGACAATGCTCTTTAAAGCATATCAATATATGGAATAGATCTTAAAAATCACAGTATCATACAACATTTTTAAAAGCGACTTTAGAAGTATATTTTTAAAATCTGGGCTGGAGAGTAGCTCAGTGGTAAAGCAAATGCTTTAACATGTATGAGACCCTGCATTTGATCCCAAGGACCAAAAAGAGAGTAAGGTAAGTATGGTGGTGCATGTCCATAATCCCAGCTATTCCAGAGAGGCTAAGACAGAATCACTGAAGTCCAGGAATTTGGGGCCAGCTTTGGCAACATACAAAATTTGTTAAGGTCATAAGAAAAGGGATTTTTTTCAAGGTTTTGGAAACAGTGTCAAAGCAAAGAATTCCAATGAACACTAAATATCCCCACATGGTACAACTGAGTCTTTTCCCAATGACCCTTCCTGACACCTTCCTTGAAATTAGATTAACAAGAATTTCTCTTAGTAGCATAGTTCAAAGGGCCATAGGAAAATTTATAAATTTACTAATGCAAACACAACCACAAATACCTCAATGACTTTTGTAACAAATATTTCTCACTTTATATGATTTCGGCTCTGCATTTCACAAGGTATACCCAAGTATACATATACAGTCAATATACATACAACCTAAGAAATAAATGCCATAAGATACTGATCAATTTTCAGGTTATCTATAACCTCAGAAAAAACTTCACTAATAGGACTAGATGTGGTTCAAGGCCAGCCAATCAAAAGTTTGGGAGACCCTATCTCAAAAAAACAAGGAGGGTATGGTGGTTCACATCTTTAATTCCAGTTTAGTGGTAAGAGGCTGGGCTGGGCCAAAATTCAAGACACTATCATAAAAAAAAAGAGACCCTAAAAGCAAAAGAACTGGGGGGAATGGCTCAAATGGTAGAGCCCCTCCCAGTAAAAGCCCCAGTACTGCCAAAAACAAAAAAAAAAAAAAAACCCACAAAACCCTCACTAACACATAAATTGTTAACAGAACAAAAACTTAAAATTTGTCACTTTGGACCAGTTGCGTTGGGAGCCCCAATACTGTTTTTTATGGCCTCATAAATGATCTGCTACTGTGCTAATTCCCAACTCCTTTACAAAATTTTAACTGACACGTCATATTTGTACTTATTTATGGATATAGTGTAATTTGATATATACAATGTGTAATCAAATCAGGGTAACCAGCTTTTTGTCTCCTCAAATACTATCATTTCTATGTGCTGAGACCCTCAAACTCTTCTCTAGTTATTATGAAGTATATAATAAATCATTGTAGATCACAGTGACCCTACTGTGCTCTAAACATTAGAACTACAACTCCTATTCAACTTTTTTTTGGTTCTTATTAGCCAGCCTCTCTCTATCCCCATTCTTCTCCCCAATGCCAGACTCTAATGACGCCTATTCCACAGTTTACCCAAATAAATTATACAATGGGTAAAACTGGAACTATGATAAGTTGAGTGTATTCAATCAATCCAAAGCTTTGTGTTAAGAGGTTTAAAGGTAGAATATAGTTTGAATAGATTATCAACGAGTATTTAAGAAAAGAATAGCCCCTTTTTCAAGTAAGGATGTACGATTTTCAAATTCAGACAGTATTGGGTCAGAGACCAGATCAAGGATATAGCTGCCAACCTTAAGAATTCAAATTGGGCTGGCTTAATTCTGCAAAAGGACATGTGTTTCCTGAGGGGTGGTATGTCAGTAAAATCTATAAATTCAAAGTGTCTGTAACAAAAGTACAAAAAAGATAAGCACATCTGAGAACGTCTTATGAATGAGACCACTGCACATGAAGCTGACTAGAATTAAATGCACACAATGAAGTGATGTATTATTAAAACTGATACCAGATTGTATCGAAAAAGCTCTCAACAGGAGCACTGGGCCCCCAATCCCTACAGTCTGAAAGCTGCTACACTGATGAGGGCAATGTTTCCCAATGGCATTTCAGAAGCAACTCTACTTGAGTGAAAAAAAGACAACTTCTACAGGAATCAGCAAAAGCCATGGAGACAAAGGGCCTAGGACACACATTCCCAGGGAAAAATGAGGGTGCAATCAGGAAATGTTCCTTATATCTCAAATAAGGGGATCCCACAATATCTTCCCCACAGAAATTCAGATTTCTTAAGTAACAATGACTACAAACAAATTCACCTACAAGCACATGATTTCTTAATTTCACTATAATAATCAAACCCTGTTGTGTTTTTATGCCACTGTGTTATTAACTGGTATGTAAAAATTGTACATATTTGTGGTGTATGGCTTGCTATTTTATGTATACACTGGAATGGCTAAACCATTTAACATATGCATTTTATCTCACATACCTTTTTGAGGTAAAAAGCTATGCTCTTTGTACTTTTCAAGTTCACAATATATTGTTATTATCTGCTACTATTTTTCAGAGGACCTTTTATTTTTTTAAAGGAACAGGATCTCAGTATGTTGCCCAGTCTGGTGGTCCTTTACTCCCAGGCTGAAGGGATCTTCCTGCTTTAGCCAAAGAAAACACAGGTGTATGCCACTGCACCTGGTTTATTTTTGGGTAGTTTAACAGCTAGCTTGGCAGTAAAATAAAGCTCTTCAAACACATTCTAGTTGAAAAGTACCAACTTGACATTAGTGTTTTATAAGTAAGTGTTCAGGTCTTTCAAGATACTATAAATCACTTTTTTTTTTTTTTTGTGGTAATAGGGTTTGAACTCAGAGCCTACACCTTCAGTCACTCCACCAGCCCTTATTTGTGATGGGTTTTATTGAGATCGGTCTTACAAGCTATTTGCCCAAGCTGGCTTCAAACCAAGATCCTCCTGATCTCTGCCTCCTGAGTTGCTAGGATTACAGACACCTGGTTTATAAATCCATTCTTAATTGACATACTTGAGGCTTCCCCACAAAAATCTTTCAACACAATAATCACAGAAACCTTCCCTCCTTTATCTAAATATGTATATTCCTTCTGGTGATATTTCTTCAGAAAAGCCAAAGCAAGCAGGAGCCAAGACAAGAAGGGAAAAAGAAACTACTTGTTTTTTTGGTAAGTAGTTATGATTCTAAAATGCTTAAAAACTTAAATTTACAACACAAAAATCATTTTAGAACCACTTTAAAATCACCTATTCTGGAAAATCCTAAAGTATTTGTGGACATTACTTTAAATACTGTCTCTCCGAAATTACTTCAATATACTATCTTGCCCAATTTCCCTTTTAAAGGTTTTGTCCCAAATTACCAAAGTAACTTTATGCATCACAAAGAAAATGTTTTAATTAGACCATATAAATTATCCATATTCTTATTCCCTAACCAATTTTTATTGTTTTACAAAGTTTTTCCAGTTTCCCCCATAACTTTAGAAATATTGTAATAGTAATAGCAACATTCTGTAAAATAAGAAAAAAAAGTGGTAAAAATGCAAATTGACATATGCATATTTAAAGTAAAAAGTCTCATTTATTGAATAAATACTAATACATTAAAAATAAACTCACATGTCACTCTCTGAAGGACAGGGCTGTTTCACCGTTTTAGGTCTGCCTCTTGGTTTTGGAATCTTGACTTCTGTAGCTAATATTCACATGGAGGGAAAAGAATCATTAACGACCAGTTTCCTTTTAAAATGAAAATCTCACAGAGACTACAAATGACATATATAATATAAAAGTATTTACTGGCTTACAGATACAATGACTCACAAGTTTTAGAAATAATACCTCCCCATGGATCAAATGAGAAATAGCAAAAAATTTAAAAGACCAAAAAAAAGAGAGGGCTTAAATAGTATTTTTTCATTGCTGTTTTAATAGAAATCTCACAAAATTCCAAATACTTTGGAAAGTATCACTTATATTCAATACTGATATACCTATCACAATATTACATTTACATTTATACATCTGTCCTTGGAAGTTTGTATCAGAATTCACCAAGTGTTCTAATACCATTAATTTGATTACAAATTTAAATTCCAAAATATTATGTAAATAATATGTATGTATATGTAAATAACCTTTTCTCATGGCTATTACTCATCTTAACCTTTTTCACTATAATGCTATTATGAAGTAGAAAAAAATTGGCTGTTTTCTTTGTATTAAGAACAGCTTCTCAAGATATTTCCAATTTGCCGATTTAAGAAAACAAAATTATAAATGTCCTAACAAACACAGAATGCAACAATTTCAAATATTAACAGCTGTTAATATTAATCAAAAGCTGTTTTTCATTCTTTGATTATTACTTCATTTGGAAAGCTACACCTTAATGAACTGGAACAGTAATCATAACTCAAACAAATACTTAACATTAATAATCCTACCTGCAGGTCGTCCTCTTTTCGGACTCACTTTCAAATTAACAGAGGCTGTTGCTGTTGTCACTATTCCTGCCTCCTCGGTTTCTACTTGTTTTTCTGCCTGAATCACAAAGATTTAACTTACTTAGCAAATAGCATACACTCAAAACTTAATTCCATGGGAAAACTATGCCAGTTTTCAATAACATAATCAAATTTTAAGCATAATTTTAATGTGATCTTTTATTTTTCCTGAAAAAAATCAAACTCATCAGAATAACAAGCTTTGCTTATAAACCTGGCAAATAAAAATTCATCTTTTAAAAATTCTCAGCCTAAAAAAAATCATTTGAAATAACAAAGCTAATTTACTCTTTTTATTTTTGGTGGCATCAGAGTTGAAACTCAGAGCTTCACACTTGATAATTAGGCACCCTACAGCTTGAGCCAAACCTCCATCCTTTTTCTCTCCAGTTATTTTGGAGGGAGGGTCTTATTTTCTGTCCAGGCCAGACTGTGATCCTATTTTATGTGTCATGCCACTGCTGCAACAGGCACATTGTCACTACACCCAGCTTTTTTCCCATTGAGATTGGGTCTCAAGAATTTTTTTTTTTTTTGCCCAGGCTGCCTTCCAGCTATGATCCTCCCAATCTTAGTCTCCTGTATTATGTGTAGTTAGGGTAACATGTGCACACCAGTGCACCCAGTTAATTGATTGAAACGGGATCTTGAGAACCTTTTTTTTCTTTTTTTAAACAGAAGTGAAATATTTTATTTGTAAGTGGTGATCTTCTAAATCTGTGTCCAAAAATTCCAAAACCCGTAACACTCAAAAAATTCAATTTTTGCCAACATCGGATAGATCTTTTGTCCTGGCTTGCCTCAGTGATTGTCCCAATCTCAGCCTTCCAAGTAGGCAGCTAGCACAAGAGGCATGAGCCTCTGGCACCTGGCTAAAGCTAATATTCTTAATGCAATACGGGAAACAAAGTATAATGGTGCAATCATGCTGAAAAACTCCCACATTGCTATTTATAATTCTGTAACTTTGTTAATAGATACACTTTTTTTTTAAAAACTGAAACTTGACCGATGTTCTCCCCTATGAGTTATCCTTACTTTCTCTTAAAGGGATGCCAGGTGCACATGGCTCACACCTGTAATCCTAGTTACTTGGGAGGCTGAGATTGGGAGGATCACAGTTCAAGGCCAACCTGAGCAAACAGTTTGCAGGAACCCTATCTCCAAAATAACAACAGCAAAATGGACTGGAGGTGTTGCTCAAGTGGAGAGCTGGGTTCAAACCCCAGTACCACCAAAAAACCCAAAAAAACAAAAAATACTTGACAAATTTTATTGTCTAAAGACCTCAAATGAGAATCAGTATTGCTAACTTTGGAATTACAGTAAAGGGTAAGAACAAAATGAGAAAGTTAATACAAACACGAGGAAGTAAGATATTACTGGGTCATGACTGCAAAGGAAGGAAAGAAACTGAAGGAGAGCCAGAACAAAAGGATAGAAGGACAAAGATCCACTTCCCACTCCCTATTTAGAATTCTGCATTAACCATATTGACAAAATAGGGCAAGAAAGAATTAACAAGTGCAATTCAATCCTGTTAATAAAAAAAATTTAAAACTACCTTTACCTATTTTTGGTCTTGAATAGTAACAAACTTTACTTTCATTTATCTATTAGGGAGGGGCTTCAGACAAGGTCTCACTATGTAGCCCACGCTAGCCTTGAACACTTGATTCTCCTGCTCAGCCTCCCCAGTGCTGCAATTACATACCCACGCCACCACACCTGACTCTGAAAAACTGCCTTTTATCAAGTATCTGATTTGCAAAAAGACGCTCAGTGTTGGTAGGATGTGTTAATCTCTGACTAGTCAAATCCATTTTTAACAATTCATGCATTTTTCTTAGCTTTATAAAATGACTGCTTTTATATAATAACGTTAGGAATTTCTGAGACTTCCTTGCCCTGTCTCATTGTGATTCTGAAGCTCTGGATTAGGGAACCTGCCACCTGTGTTTTCATAAAGCTCCACAGTTGAGCTGGGCACTGGTGGCTCACGCCTGTAATCCTAGCTACTCAGAAGGCAGTTCGAAGCCAGCCTGGGCAAATAGTTTGCAAGCCCCATCTCGAAAAAACCATCCAAAAAAAGGGCTGGTGGAGTGGCTCTAGGTGCCGATGCTTTGCCAACTAAAGTTTATAAAATATTCTAAATCCTTGTTATCATTTCAACAATTTATAGCACCTTCACCAGGAGTAGATTCCACCTGGAGAAACCAATTTGTTCATCCATAAGGGCTGTAGAGTGGATGTTGTATTAGCAGACATGAAAACAACAATCTCGTTGTACACTTGCATCAGAGCTCTAGGCAATCAGGCAGGCGCACTGTAGACAAGCATATTTTGAAAGGAAGTTGTTTTTTTTTTTTTTCCCCTAAGAAAAAGGTCTCAACAGTGGGATTAAAATACTCAGCAAACCATGTTACAAACAGCTATGCTATCATCCAGGCCTTTTTGTTCCATTTATAGACAAAGGTAGAATAGATTTAATATAATTTCTAATTATCCTGAGATTTTCAGAATGACAAATTAAGCACTGGCTTCAACTTCAAGCGACTAGCTTTACTGGACCCTAGCAAGACTATCTATCATTTAAGGCTCTAAAACCAGTCACTGACTTTTTCTTCTCTAGGTTTAAGTTCTAGATAGCAACTTCTTCCAACAGAAGACTATTCCCATAAACCTAATGAACTAACCTCTGCTAGCTTCATTCTGTTCTTCTGCATCTTCCTCATCTCTGTCAGCCTTCACAGAATTGAAAGATAGGGCCTTGCTCTGAATTAGGATTTGACTTACAGCATCGTTTTGGCTGGCTTGATCTTGTACCCAAACCATTCCAATTTTCCCCAAAGCAGCTAAGTATGTTTCACTTTTTTTAAGTGTTGCTTTCTCTGAATTTTTATTATTATTTTTATTTGCATATAATAGTTGTACAGGGGAATACATAATGACATTTTCATATGTATTTACAATATATCTTATTGTAAGATATTATTGTAATTTATCATTCTCCCTCACCCACTGGCCCCGCTGTTTCTTTCCTGTGTTACTGGATAAGTTCTTTTAAATTTCCTTCTAGAATTTTTCCTTTGTATTCAAAACCTGGTCTATAAGCCCAAGAGGCCTAGTTTCCAACCTATCTCAGCTTTCAACATGCCTTCCTCATTAAGCTTAATCATTTCTAGCTTTTGATTTAAAGTCAAAGGCCAGTGACTATTCCTTTCACTTGAATACCTGGAGGTCATGGTAGAGGGAGAGAGACAGAATGGTTTGTAAGAGGGGCAATGAGAACACACCCAACATTAAACAATTAAATTTGCTGCCTTATATGGGCATGTGTGTGGTGTCCAAAAGCAATCACAACAGTAACATCAAAGATCACTGATCACAAACCACTGTAACAGATAAAATAATAATGGTATCATGAAAATTACCAAAATGTGACAAAGAGACAAAGTGAGCACATGCTGTTGGAAAAATGGCACCGAATAACTTGCTTAATGCAGAGTTGCCACAAACCTTCAGTTTGTTTAAAAAAAAAAAAAAAAAAATTTTTTTTAAAGCCTTGTATTGCAAAGTGCAGTAAGGCAAAGTGTAACAAAAGAAATTTATGTCTGTAGTTTCTATCTGGTAAAAATGCAAGTTCATTAAGAACAGAGATCTCCCTTCCTTTCCTTATTCACTATGCCACTCCATTCCTAGTTTTAGTAAGGTTAGTAATTTGTCAGCGAACTGCTCTCACTACCTTAATATTCCCATCGTCACACTGCTTTAATAAAGGAGTCATTTAAAACTCAAAATAATCCAAGGCTTCCCATCACTTTGCTAAGTTCTGATTCTTCAAGATAACTGGTCTTGTTATCAACTTTAAATTCTGGCAATACTGAAATGTGATACTGCATTCAAAATAACTGAAATTTCTCCTTACATCTATACACTTTTTTGAAGGGGATGGTATTGGAGTTTAACCCAAGGAATCATACTTGCTAAGCCTCAGACATCCTTCTCCCTCCTTCATTTTGCCTAGCTTTTGAAATATTACCTACATACATATATAGTAATATTTATTTTTCATATTTTACTTCCTCATGAGATACAGAACTCTTGGTTTCCTTTGTACCTTTGGCATGTAATAATGTGAGACACAAATATGTCAGAAAAAGGTAAAAAAGAAACTCACATTAAAAGTCTATCAGAGTACAATATGGTTAAAAAAAAAAAAAAGTCTACCAATATCTAGCCCTACACTCACTCTCACACAATAACATGTGATATAACAAAAATATGACAGACATGTATTTCATTGTTCAAGGACTTAGGAACTAGGTTTTATTATAAACATTTTATAACACAATGGTACATATTACGATCCATTTTACAGAGAAAACTGAGTCAGACTCATGAAAACTGGTTTATTTTATTTCCTTTTATCATCAACATATCTTTAAGGGTGCTACAGCTATACTACCAAGAAGAGTTGCTAAGTAAACAACACAACCTACCCTTTAAAAAAATTAGTTTAGAGATCAAGTTTTAATAAGGTTTCATTATTTCTACTCTGTTAGTTCAAGTAATATAACATTTCTATTAAGATCCCTATGGTTAGAAAAATTACCTTTCTCTTTCTCCCTCTTCTGGCAGCTTTTGGAGTGGTTATGTCAATTGGTTTATTCACATCCTTAAAAAAACAAAACAAAGAACACCAAGTTGAATAAACGCTTCCAAGACTGAAACTTTCTTCAACTAAAATAATCCCAAATATATTTCACTAAAAATGCTGGAGAAGTCTTTTGTTTTTCAAGCCTTTGAAATTATAAACATGCAAAGTTTTATTATAAAGTAAAAATAACAGCCAGCATCTTCCTGAGGTGGACAGGGAAGCATTTTCACTGTCATCTCAAATTTAAAAAGTCAGGTGGGCGCCAGTGGCTCACACCTGTAATTCTAGCTTCTCAGGAGGCAGAGCTCAGGAGGATCATGGCTCGAAGCCAGTGCAGGCAAATAGTTCTTGAGACCCTCTCAAAAAAACCCACCACAAAAAAGGACTGGTAGAGTGGTTCAAGGTGTAGACCCTGAGTTCAACCCCTGTACTGAAAAAAAAAAAAAAAAAGGAAAAGAAAAAAAGTCATGCCTACTAGCACAACAGAACTTTTAACACAACAGTCTACTCAGATTTATAAAATCACTTCTACAGCAAAATCCTGAATGTCAGGATTGTGAATTTTAAAAGGTAGTTTAAGACTTTGGAAATCATCTAATGATCATTTCCAGAAGCCTAAAAGGGCTAACTGAGTATCCCCATTCAGACAATCAGAGGAAGAGCTCAACCTAAAAAAATTCATAGGGCTAAATGAGTATCCCCACTCAGACAATCAGAGGAAGAAATCAACCTAAAAAAATTCAGTCTAATGCTCTTTCTGGAACATCCATCCCACGATACTCTTTCTAAAAGTATTTGTAACAGTAGCCCCTGCTATAGTTGGACCTTCCACGTTTCAGATAAAAATAACTTCAAATAAAAACATCCATGCATCTTAAAAACACAAAATATTTTATTATCATGCTGTATTTAACATGTTCCCATTCATTTTTCAAACATTTTAAAAATTACTTCCCAGTTTGCTATTGTCAACCCACTTTACAATTTCTTCCTTGCAATAAAATTGTAAAATCCTTGTTAGAATGGAAGAGAAATAAAACATACCTCATTGCTAGCTTTTTCTTCATGATCAGTATCTTCCTTGGAAACACTAGTTTCTTTTTCTTCAACTTCAACATCAGATGATGCATTTGATTGTTTAGTTGATGCCTATGTACAATAAACTCTTAGTTTCACAAAAAATGGTTTTCGCTAACTTAAAAATTTTTCTACTAATGAAAAATCAAAGGCCTGTCTACAATAAAGTTAAATAAGTACCTTGATTTCATTTCCAAAAAGACACTTTTAATAAATTAAAAAAAAAAATTTTCCAGTGCTACTACAGGTTGAACATTCCTAAACAGAAAATGCGTGTTTCAAAATCCAAAACTTTTCCAGTACAGAATCTCTTGTAAAATGGGAAAGTAACACAGCAAAATAATGTAAAAGTTCTGATAACTACTCATAGCACTACAGTCATGATGGCCAATTTTCTTTGTTTTGTATAAATTTGGAGATCACTGCTTTCCCAAACGCTAAACAATGTGCCCAAGGACGCCTGGGTCTAGGAATCAGAGAATGCCAGTCATACATTTTGTAGACAATAAAGTTATCTGGTTTCATTATATAACCACTATAACTTTCACTGTGAAATAAAAAATTACAGATATATACAGTAAAAACTACCCGAAGATGAAATGGGTAGATAGGAACAGAGGATAGAATAACTAAGATGGGCAATCTAAAGGATGAAAATGACCATCAAGTACAATCACAAGACAGATAATCCAAGAGAAATTACACAATGTTAATTTCAGAAAAACAATCTATTTTGTCTAAACAGGTATCTTCTCATTACAAAGTCAAGGCAATTACTATGGGAAACCATGCATCCATTCAATAAACATTTAGTGACTATCTTCCACACAAGTAACAGTACTGAGCACACAGGACAAAGAACTTCTTTGTTCACAGAGCTAAAAAAGTCTGTGGCAGTTATAGACACCTATAGGAGCAATTATGATATGCTATGATGTACCATGACAAGTAAGTACTGGGTGGTAATGAAGGCACTTAAGATCATCTAATGCAGCTGTGGTACAGCAATGAAAAAATTTAAATGTTCCAGGCAGCATCTGAAAAGTTATCAAAAGTGAGAAAACCATGGCACTTGTAAAAAACTAAAAAAAAAGGGGTGAGATAGAGATGAACCAATTCAGGTTGTAATACACAAATGCATGGAAGCAATGCTAGGAATCTCTCTGTATAGCTATCCTCATCTCAAACTAGTAAAAATGCTGTCTGTCTTATTGCTTGTCTACTCTTCAACAAAATTGGAGAAAGGGGCAGAACAGGTTCTGCCTAGAAGTGAGGGAGGTGGGGGAAGAGTAAGGGAGCAGGGGGCAGAGGGGAGAAATGGCCCAAACAATGTATGCACATATGAATGAGTAATAAAAAAAAATAACAGTTATAGGGGGCTGGGAGGGGGACAAACAAAAAAATGTTACAGGATATCCAGTTTGTTGCTATCTCTGTCTTTTTTGCTTTTTTTGGTGGGACTGGGGTTTGAACTCAAGGCTTTGCACTTACAAAGCAGGCACTCTACCACTTGAGCCAAACTCCAGTCCATTTTGCTCTGATTATTTTGGTGATGGGGTCTCTCAAACTATTTGCATGGGCTGGCCTCAAACCACAATCCTCCCAATCTCAGCCTCCCAAATAATTAGGATTATAGGTGTGAGTCACTGGCACCTGGCTTTGCTACCTCATTCTTTAGGTTTACTAATACTCTTCCCAATTTTTGCTCTTCAAGTCTTAATGGACTTGTACTGATGAATGGGAAACTGAACAACAGTTTCATGAAGACCTCCTCTTAAGAGTTCTTTGTTTTCGTGTATCCATGTGTTACACCCATGTTGATTCAACTCTAACTGATCTTTACATTGGTTCCTGATCGAAAGCAATAGTTGGAATCTCTCTGTATAACTATCCTTAACTCAATTAGCAAAAATGCTTTGTCTTCCTTATTATGCTTATGTCTTTTCTTCAAAAAAATCAGTGATAAGGGCAGAACGGAACCTGCCTGGAACTGAGGAGGGGAAGGGGAAAAGGGAGGGGAGGGGGGCAGAGTGGAGAAATGACCCAAACAATGTATGCACATGTGAATAAATGAACCAAAAAAAAAAAAAAGAGTTGTTTTGTTTATTTTACATAAGAATTCTGGAATTTCCATGAGATTATTTACATAGGTCAAGAGTGCAACTGGCAATACAGAAAAAACATTTTTAAAAATGACATCAACCCCAAGATAGAAAAAAAAATTAAGAAAAACAGTAATTTCAGTTGATGATACAAATTGGGTAAAAGCAAACCACTCCATAAAATTTAGCATCACATAAGAATTAACATAAGCTCTGGGGCACAAACAATATGAAAAAGGAAGTATAAGGCTGTTCCTCTAGACATCAACACGTGTAATCTGCATTGTGCTATTAGCACTTTTGTCACACATTTACTTTACCCAGATCTATAATCCTATGTACTTTACCTGACACAATTCTATGGGCATAGAAACTAAAGAGAGTAAGAAAACTCAAGCACATACTCTCTAAATTAAAATTTTTTTGAATTAAAGAGAATAGTACGTATGACTTTAAAATGCGCAACATATTAAATAAACTCTACTCTCAATCAGTATTTAAATAACCAAGTATTTGTCAGTTTTCTAAGATCTCTTTAGCCATGCAATTAATTTCAACAGCTTACCTAGACATAAAAGGTCAAAGTCCAACCTCTTAAATAAAGAATACAATGTAATCTGAAATTCATAACGCTCTCAAATTAGTATTTTCCTCTATGACAGTGATATTTTTTTCCAATACTGAATAAATAATATTAAACTAAATTTTATGCAGTGACTAACCTGTTGACTTGAAAATTTCACTTTCGGATTGTTATCTATCTCCCATAAACCTTCATTGAAACCTTTTCTTTTATTTGGTTTGCCATACTTTTCCTTATTTTCAGAGTATGGAAATATATCCTTTGGTCCTAAAAAAGCACTGAAACAGAAAGGAATAGTGTAAATGTAAAGCAACCTCAATTGACTACATAATAGTTATTAAAGAACACTATCCTAAGATACATTTTAAATATGCAAATTAAATGGAAGACAGACATACTTTTAAATCCTGTTGATTTCATTAATTAAGCACAATCTCGCCAGGACATGAAAAGACTCTGGTGCTGTACTGTAACAAAAGCTTTAGGTTCTGTTGGTTTACAGAACAACAAATGTGGTCTGTTTAGGGGTGGGGATAAGGTAGACAAATATACTTAATTTAATTCCAAATACTGCTTTTTTTCTTTTGCCACACTAAAGAGCAAACCTAAGGACTCACACATGCTAGGCAAGCTCTCTACTACTGAGCTACACCCTAAACCTGCAAATACTATTATTAAATTCAGTATCAAGCTCCCAGATGTATAATCCTTAAAAAAAAAAAAAAAAAAAAACCACAAAAGTTGCACCAAAATGTGAATGTACTTAACACCACTGAATTATATACTTAAACGTGGTTAGCAACAATATAATGTGTCTCAAAATAGGTAGAAAAAGGGTTTTTTTTTTTTTGAGGGGGGGGCACGGAGGGAGACAAGAGTCTCATTATGTAGCCCAGGCTAATCTTGAACTCAAGATCCTCCTTCCTGTTTCAGCCTCCTGGGTACTAGGATTATAGATGTGCACCACCATGCCCCACTAGAAGAAATCTCAAATAATTTCAGCATAGATGTAATGAATGTTTGAGGTGATGGATATACTAATTATCCTGATTTACTCACTGCACTTTACTTATGTATGTGTGTATGTATATATATGCCTGTGTTTGTCAAAGTACTACACTGTATCACATAAACATGTAGTGACACATACACGTATCACTGTGTTAATAAAAACACGATTAGAACAGTAAATATCACCAGCACTGGTAGCTCATTCCTGTAATCTTAGCTACTCAGGAGGCAGAGATAAGGAGGATCACACTTCTAAGCCAGCCCAGGCAAATAGTTCAAGATATCCTATCTGGAAAAACCCATCACAAAAAAGGGCTGGTGAAGTGGCTCAAGGTATATAGGTCCTGAGTTCAAGCCCCAGTAACACACACACACACACACACACACACACACACACACACACACACGCACACACACAAAAAAAACCCCAGTTATGTATCATTTTTACAATAAAAAAAAACTTTTGACAAAATACTATTAATACATTTAATAGCATCCTAAATATAATTTCATTTCACCATAACTTGTTCATTATACAAGTCATAAAACTGAAATAATTCATATTATCTAAATATATATATTTATGTTTTTAAAATGAATGTTAAGAATTTTATTTTACTCAATGAAGGAATTATTTCATTCATATACAGTCAATTCTTACTATCCTTGGCAGTTGTTTCATAAAGTCACTGTGAACAGTGAATTACTAAATACTGTGTCAAGGGAATTACAAGGTAGGTTCCTGAATCACAACATTTTTATTAATGCAGTCGATATATAACCTTATTTTGTGTATGTTTCACTTTAAAGAAACATTACTTAGCACCTAATGGCAGTTCATTAACACTGACTCAGCCAGCAGATTCTGTAACACGTACTTACTCTAAGGTGAATCACAGCCTTCTTGCACTTAGGGATACTGAACAGCATCTTAGCACTATCCTTTCAGGGTTAGTTTAAAAAGCAAAATGACAAGCCAGGCACCAGTGGCTCACGCCTATAACTCAGCTACTCAGGAGGCAGGGATCAGGAGGATGGCAGTTCAAAGTCAGCCTGTGCTTATAGTTCTAGAGAACCCCCCACCGCAATCTCAAAAACACCCCGAACAAAAAAGGGCTGGTAGAGTGGCCCAAACAGTATAACACCTGCCTAGCAAGCACACAAGCACAAGGCCAAATTCAAGCCCCAGTACCAAAAAAAAAAAAAAAAAAAAAAAAAAAAGACCAAGACAAAGCACAAAAAATATGAGAACCATGTAACTAAACACTGTTAAAATAACACTTATTTACAATATGAGAGATGATACAAGAAAGCAAAGCATTCCATTACTCAACCTTAATTAGGAATGTTTGCATCAGGTAACTCAAAATTTGTTTGCTTACTCTGTACATGTCCATACTACAATTAATGATTTGGAGTCACAAAGAAGTTTTACTGAGTAGAGGTATTCACAAGTATGCAATCCACGAATAGCATTATTACTGTTTCTTTGCTGTACGTTCATCTTTGCTGGCCAATTCCCTCTTTTTTGTTTATTTTGGTAAAACAAGTATGTATATTATCGGAAAACAAAAGTCAACTACGTATTTTGCAGTCTGCTCATAATTTGAGAAACAAATGCAAGAGTATCATTTTCTTGAAAATTTCAAAGTGACATGATATACATGCATCTGTAATATATATCTCAATTTGTGGACTGAAAAGTAGAAAATTTTACAGTTTATACAATCATTGTTAATATAGCAGGGTAAGTGAAATTTTAACCAAACTGTTGGGGTATGGGTATGTTAACTAAACCACAATAACTGCAATTTGTGCTTACTGGAATTGTGTAAAGATAAGCACTGCCTGTACCCTTCTCTTCATGCTTTAACTTTAAATTCCAGGTTTATCAAACAGAATACTGCCATTCCTGTTTTCTTTGTAACTGCATTATATCATTACTTGGTCTTGTTTTGCTTGAGCCTTGACTCACACACAAAAAAAAGACAGCTAGACTATTAATACAATCTGTAAGTCTTAATAGCATTATATCCATTCACTGAACATAATCAACTTATATTTGGTCTTATAAACACCATCTCATTTACATAAACTTTTTCATTCTACTTGTTTAATTTTTATTCCTAATTTTGAACAGGTTTTAAAAAAAAAGTTCTCCCATTGCTCCTCCTCCCAGATTCAAACTTACTAGGTTCTCTTTTCCATTATTTTACAACTATGTTCAAATTAAGTCATAAATTCATTTATATTAATGTAACAAAAATTGGAAAGCTATGCCCTTCCAACCGAAAGAAAAAAAAAACCTTTTCAAATCTAAATAATTCATGTTAAGTACAGAAGTTTTGTTTTGTTTGTACTGGGGTATGAACCTAGAGCTTTGCACTTGCTAGGCAAACACTCTAGCACTTAAGCCTTAAGTTTCTTTTTTGTAAACTCACAGTTTAATGATGCTCAATGTCAGTAGCTAATCAAGGAAATGTAAATCAAAACCAGGGCAAGATACCACTTCACCCCCACCAGAATGGCTGCAATTAAAACAAAAAAAAACCACAATGTGGAGAAATTGGGACCCTTATACACTGCTTGGGGATGTAAAACAGTGCAACTGATTGGGAAACTAGTCTGGTAGTTTCTCAAATGACAAAATGTAACCGTTCGAACTAGAAATCCTAATCTGAGACAAATGAAAACCTATGTCTACACAAAAACTTGTACATAAGGACTAGGGACGTAGCTCAGTGGTAGAGAGCTTCCCTACATATTTAAGACTTTGGGTTCGAACCCACCACCTCCAAAAGCCAGATCACACCAAACAAAACAAAACAAAAAAACCATGTACACAAATATTCATAGTAGCATTATTCATAATAGCCCAAACTGGGAAAACTCACTTGTTTGTCGAGTGATAAATACAACATGGTAGATCAATAAATTACAACATCATCATATAATACAATATGGATGAGTCCTGAAAATATTACGCTAAATGAAAAAGGCTACTCACTAAAGACCACATGTCATAAGGTTACATTTATGAAAAATAACCATAATAGGAAAGCAATTTAGCGATTCCCTAGGCTAAGGTAACAGGAAAGACTAGGAAGAAGTGGTAGGTAACAGGCTAACCCACTAGGTTTCTATTGGGGTGAAGAAAATATTCTAAAATTGTGCTAATGCCTCTACTACTCTCTGGATATACTAAATTATTCATTTAAGTGGGTGAATTACATAGGAAGTTAATTATATTTCACTAAAGCTGTTATAATTTAAATTTTTCAGAGACTACCTTTATCCCATTCAAAGAAAAAAATGTTCTATAATTTTATCAATTCTAGATAGACAGTCATTCTTTTCAGCCCACTTATATATTTTAAAATATGGGCTTGAAACATGGCTCAAATGGTATAGGGACTGCCAAGCACGCTCAAGGCTCTGAATTCAAACCCCAGTACTGCCCAAAAAAAGCTGGGTGCCAGAGGTTCATGCCTGTAATCCTAGCTACTTGGGAGTCTGAGATCTGAAGGATCACAATTAATAGCCAATTCAAACAGGGAGCTCAAGAGACACCATCCTGACCAATAGCTGGGCACAGTGGCATGAGCCTGTCATCCCAAGCTACCAGAGAGGCTAAGATTAGGAGGTTCTCATTTAAAGGTCAGCTCATGCAAAAAAGTTTACAAGACCCCATCTTAATGGAAAAAAGCTGGAAGTGGTGGCATGAGACAGCATGGTGATGTTGGAGGGAAGTATAAAATAGGAGGATGGCAGTCCAGGCCAGTTTGGGCAAGTGAGACCCTATTTCCAAAATAACCAGAGGAAAAAAAGAGTGAAAGTGTGGCTCAAGTGGTAGAGCAATTGCCTAGAAAGTGCAAAGTCCTCAGTTCAAATCCTACAACCACCAAAAAAAAGTAACTTCAATACATATGATACACATTTGTAATTCGTATGAACATATTTTTGTCAACAATTATCTAACACACAATTTACTAAATAGCTACACTAAAATTAAGGCTATTGTTGATCATTTTTATATCAAAACCTATTATAAAATAATGCTGCTACAATAAACATACCCAATAAAAATACTCAATAAAAATACAAATACAAAAATACAATAAAAATACTCAATCCTTGCCTGATCTTCATAATCAATTCCAAGAACAACTGGGTCAAAAGATATACTCAAAGACCAATGAGCTGCTAATAAGACTCAAAAACAAAGCTGATGAAAAAAGAACCCTCCATGGGGATAACAATCCACCAG